GCAATTTCAAGTTTTCATAGTTTCCCTGGATACTTACATAAAAATAAAGTATTACAATAAAGTAGAGATTCATCTCACAAAATAGAATTCACACTTTCCAAACCACTGACACTTAGTCCTGGTTTTTAGTCACAGTACTTCGTATAACCATGCTTAAAGACATACTGTACTTAGAGACATGCTTCAAGACATTATAGACCCAAAAGGTTCCTTTTGTGCAGCATTTTAAATACAGCGCATACTACATTTGTTGTAGTGATGAAATGCTTGTCCTATCTATATCTGACGTTTTCAAGTCAATTTTGTTAAGAAAACATTAGTGCTTCAAAAAAGGACATTTCCCTCTTGTGGTACATCCTTAATTCACAAAAAACAAACCTTACAAATTGTAGATTTGACGTTTATCATCTATGACTATGAGAAATCTGTAGTATTTATATCTGATTATTCACTTATTATATGTTTGTAGGATTATCTATAATTGTGGTTTCATCTAGCTTGCTACCCTCTTATGTGACTGTTAGTATACACATGTATGTATCTGTATCTATTGTTCCTGCTAGCTGAAAACTACGAAAAGGTTGGAAAAGAAGGTTATACTTCAGATAGAAGCAAAGACCTGTAGCTGTCTGCATATTAATGTGGTATTTTCAAGTCTACTTTCAGTAGTTAATGTGTTTGCTGACTTTTGTAGATTTTCACAAAATGATTTCTAGGCCTTGTCTTCCTTGAATAAATGTCCTGGTTACTTCAGCTCCAAATCGTACATTGCACTGACACTCACTTTGGAGGGACTAACCCAGAGACACTCTCATACCATCTTCCACTTAAATCTTACCATAAGGCCACACCACACCACATTTTTTGGTTAACAGATTTTCTAGCAAAATAATGGAGTGGACGGGCGAGAAAAAAAAAAACAGGCCTAGGCATCGTATTATAGCCCAAAATGGTACGATAGGAGCCATGAAGTCAACACACCAGGCTGGTTCAAAATTTAAACAATGAATTTCGAACTTTTAATGATACCACTGCATTGAAAGATGGAATAACTCTAACAACTAGGAAGAAAAGGACTGTTCTCAACTGTTCAGGGCAAAATATGAGCATTTTGCAGTTGATTCTGAATTTATTTTTTTTGCAAATCAGAAAAAAATGAAGTGGGCGAATCTGTTAACCATGAAATTAAATTGGTGTGGCCTAAATGTCTTTTCTTAAGAATAACGACTAACCTCTACTTAATTGACTTCAGAGTTGAGCCCTCACGTCCTCAGATCAGAGGTTAACATCTTTAAGAAAATTCCAAGACTTTTGACTTTCTTCCCATCTTTGAATACTCCTGTTGCTGTTAGTTATGCCAAGTACTTTCTTTCCCCTCCCATTTTGTAATAATTTCACCAACTAAAGAGAAAATTTGCCAGATAGATTTGAGTATCTACCAACAACTCTTTTCCCCGTAACTTCTTGTTGTTGAAAAAAAAATCAAGCATCATATTCCAATTATTAAATTAAGGGTGAAAAAAAAATCAAATTTTGGCCTATGCACAGTCGCTTTGCAATCACCATGTACAGGAAAGTGGGCCTAATCATGAAAAGGTCTAGTCCTTTGTCAGTTCTGTATTACATAAAATGGAAGCAGTAGACGGCAAGGGAAAGAACTATATTGCAAATGGGGATGAAGTCTGTCAGATCTAGAACTCCGTGTAGCCATACCCAGCTGCATAGTACTCTGAACCATCCCCTGACCCACCAAACGCACTGCCAAAATTACTAGCCAGGTTTCCTCCTAATCCTGCACTTCTGCCCTCTGACTTCTTCTTGGGATTCGGAGCTGGAAAAAACAACAACTTACACTTAGAAGTATAGAATATAGAGAAATGTAAATCTTAGAGCCAAATTTTAAGAATGATAAAAGTACCAAAATGTAAAAATATGTAAGCTTAAATCTTTTTAACATCTTATTTTTGATGAAATGTAAAAGTATCAAAGCCAATAGTCATTTAACAAAAAATTGCAACATTTATGAGTTAAAACATAGAATTATAGATTCTGAAGTAGAGAAATGTTATTTTCTTAGAAAAACAATTTTAAGAATACTAAAAGTACCAAAATGCAAAAACACCAAAGCTAACATTCAACATCTTAGAGTCCATTCCGCGTCACCGAGTGGGTTTTTTCTCCATGTTTCTAATATGTTTGAATTATTTAGAAGAAAAGAATACCCCAGTAACAAAAGTTCTAAATTTTTCAAAAATTTGAAAATGAAAATTTGAATATATTTGAATTCATTTATATATTTCTGAAACATTTTGAATGTGACTGTACAAAGATCTCTTTTTTTAGAATAAATTTGAACTACCCACGTGTTTCTTTCACAATTCGAAATATTTATAACTATTTCAAACAAATAACCAAATGGTAGATGTGGGTAATTGCCCCCATAAAAGTAGGTGCTAATCCTACTCTTCTGTCTTCCTCAGTATATTTTTAGATTTCACTGCTGGACACTGGTGGCTCTTTTGTTGTAAGGCATCAATGCCTGACACCCAGGCAGTCTGCCCTGTACTTCACAGGGATGTGTGAATTACTTCCTTCCCATCCCACTTACCTATTTACAAAATGTTAGAAATAATTTGAAATAATGGTAAAAAATGGTAGAGTGCTGTTAGAAATATTTAGAAACTATTGGAAATGTCATAATCCACATCAGGAATATTTCAAACGTTTTAGAAAACCAGGGAATTATTTAGAATATTGACAAGATGTTCAAAATATTTCCAAATTATGAAATTTCTTAGACAAACAATTACAAAGAATTCAAAACATTTCTAAATAATGACAATAACAACCCACTCGGTGACGCGGAATTGACTCTATTTCGATGAAGTGTGAAAGTACCAAAGCTAACAGTTAACATTTAACTTTCAACAGACACAAGTTAAAAGTATAGAACATGGAGAAATGTTTTAATTATTTCTTAGAAACAAAAAGATTCCAAGATACAGAGAGCTCAAAGTCAGGTTTCTAGCCTAACATTGAAAGAATTGGACCTGAGTGCCAGCATATAATAGTAAAGGATCTGTTGACTATATAGAAATATAGCGTTTTAATAGCAAGGTTGAACATTTTCGAAGAAGAAGGTCTCTGCAAGTCATAAATAGGCTAGAATGGGTGCCAACATGTAACAAGGACTTTGTCCTTTGTAACTCACCATTAGGGTTCTGTTGACCATAGAACTGCTTGAGTAAGGCTGCACACGGCTCAGCGAAGATGCCACCGATACACTGGAGAGGTCAAACAACGACGGTCAACAAGACACATGATTATAGACACATTTATAATATAAAGCATAATGGTTGTGGCTATTTTCATGAAGATCTGAAGCAACAATCATAATAATGTAAGTTTTATAGCTATAAGTTGGTCCACAGTTTGAGCTGCACATGCATTCTGTGTAAAAACAAAACACATCTAAACAAGAACTGTTTACAAGTTAGGGGGCTTCACCTTTGACCCCGTGCATGTACAGTTCAAACCATGAGTTGGCTTATTGGAAAGATATGGCCTTTTAAGTATCATGCTTTGAACTAGAAAAGTACTGAAGGAGAAAATGAAGGCAAGCTTCAAGCTGTTTTACTACAACGATAACTACCACTTTACTAGTATTTTGTAACATCCCAATCATGATTAAGCCTTTTAAAACAAATGCTGCAAAGTGTTGAAAATTGTCATCCGTTGGCCAACATTTGACGTCCAGGCAAAAGACTACATTACACAAGATAAAGCTAACAACTGGATAAAGTGAGAATGAGTCTTATAGCACATTCACTGATGAAAGTAACTAGTGGACGTCATCTAAAGCATCTATTTATATTAGGCCACCCCAACTTAATTTTATGGATGACATATGTGCGCGCATTGATTTTCACCTGTTGCCCTAAAAAAAAATCATGTCCACCGTGGCTCTAACCTGGCTTTTATAATAGACCTGGGTAGTTCATGGTGGTTAGGGACAATACAGAGCCGGGCACCCAGGCTACCGAAGCTCCACAACTGAAGAACTCAGTACATAGTATTACGTACAATGCCGATTCCTGAATTCCATAAAAAGCCAGCATGTACCGGCTTGTCATATACGTCGCTAAGTACTGCCGTGAATTCACAATACCAGCTTTGTATTCCTGTGGTGTAGTAGCATTTTTATTTTTGGCCGGAATTTTTTTTATTCACTCATGCGCACTAGTTTGAGGGTCTTCAGAGGATGTCATCCATAAAATTAAGTTGGTGTGGCCTTATTAGAAGCTTTAAAATCCAGTTATTGGATTCATTTTGTACATGTACAATGCAATATAAACCTGATGTTTTTTCTATGTGTGAGTGTATGCTGACCACCACCCATACCTTGAAAGGCTGTCCTTTTGAGTTAAATCTCTCTACATGAATTTCCTGGGCCGCAGCCACGCCCCCCATATGAGGGCAACCAAACACTATCAGGGGGATGTATGTCAAAGGTTAAGGGCCAAAGATCAAAGGTCATGGCAATGATGACCTATACATTAACAGTTCTACCAAACATTTTGCTTATTTTGCTTTCTTTCTTTTTTCTTTCAAATTTGCTACGTTGACAGGCAAAGGAATGCTTTGGTATCATCTTATGTTATAATTAGATGCCAATGCAGGGCTTGAAATACTTTTGGAATGGTTGGATGAGTGCAGATTAGGTGCAGGTTAGTGTAAATCAATTTTTTTGCAGTACTTTTATATTCCAGGTTTTGTGGTCCAGGTTTTGTGGTCCCTTCTGTGAACTGATCATTAATGTGACAAATAATTTGCCAACTTTTTTTTTGCTGTACCTGCTGACACCTCAAACATATAGTTCCGCAAACGTGTCCATTTTTCTCAGACCACAAACTTTTGCTACCGCGAACATACTGCAATTTTCAGTAATAAGACATTAGAAATACCTACACCACTTGTGGTATTTCCAGCCCTGCAATGGTTTAACACACACGGATCATAACACACACGGGTGGGTGTACCTTAAACTGCTGTCCATACGACTCTAGCCTGTCTGAATGCACACTGAGTACCGAGCCGCAGCCCCCGAAGCGGGGGTTGGGGCACCCGTACCACACCACGGGGATGTATGGGTCGGTTAAGGGGATATCATGCCGGGTCATCAGCACCCAGGAAAACCAACTCAGGCAGACATCACAAGCACTGCAGCAGGGGCTGGCCTGGGAAAAACACTGTGTTTCCGAGTTCCAAGTAAACAAATGGATTACTTTAGTTCTATTTTACTTGTAGATTTGTTGTAAAGGGTGTCATTTTTGTGTGTTCCACTAGAGGGCACAGCTGTATCAGTATGGGGATATGAATGGGAGCTTGATAGCCAGCCCAGGTAGACAGGCCAGGTAGACAGCCCAGCCTTTTCCATAAACCTGGTAGGTGATTCTCTTGAATGACGCATGAAATAGAATTTCAGAGGGTTTCAACTTCAGTTCATTTTTATTTTCAGATGTCAGATAGAAAATTTTACAACCTTTGTCAGCGGTATTTCCAAAAAAGGCAAGGGTTTATGTTTTTTTTCTAGGGTCAGATGAGAAATAATGGGAATGGGAAACACAACTTTTTTCCTAGGCCCATGATAGCAACATTCCATAACCTGGACCCTACCAGCCATATTGGAGCATAGGACAAAAACTAGATGATCTTGACCATCAAATCATGTGGCAAATTAAAGATTTCTACCTTCACATTTCAGAAAAAATATACTGTGCTACCAGCCTTCTGTATGTCTGCAATTTTCAAGTGCATTTTCTGGATAACAAGCAATATGGAGACTTAGGCAGCATAGAAAACTAGAAAACAAAGTTCAATGACAGCATTCCATCTTTTGTGTCACTGTGCCTTTTTCTGGGATAGGCTACGGTTGTAGGTAAGGTATTGAGCATTGACTATATGTCATGCAAATGTGCAAAAACATTTTCCCATTCAAAGAAAAGACGTCATAGCTATTTGTAATCTTCAATATGGCTTGCAAGATCTAGATTTTTTTCTCAGTCATAATATATTTTCATCTGGCAAATCATGAATATGGACATCACATGCGGGCATGATCACTGCATGTTGACTTCAAATTCCTACTTGTTTTTGATACTTAAGTTTTGTCATGCAATCTTAAACTGTTTTATGCTGTAATGTTTAATACATATTTTTTCACAAAGTCTAAACAAGGTTCGAAATTAGCTTGTTTTCTATCAAAGATCATCAAAAAACCATTCCAAAATGCACCTATTATATGTAACAGTGTCTTCAGCAATCACAAATGCAGTGCACATGTTGCAAATGCTCAGATTTCTCATATCACCTGCATGAAAAGAGGACCGAGCCTTTAGTTACTTCTATGGAAACCTTGCATTAATATACTAGCAAATTTACTATATTTTACAGGGCAAAAACAAAGTCTGACAAAATCTTGAAGACTTCTCCTGCCAATGAGGTTTAGCCATAATTCTATACTGCACTTTTTAGTACATGGGGCTAGCTATTTATTTCATTATAACCCAACTCATCTAGCCTGGATGCCAGACTGTTCCCAGGGCCAACACAGACCACATCCATGGCTCTATAGCCACCAAGGACACCTGGCTAACTTTGACCCCGTTCACACTAAAAAAAACTGACCCGGATTGAGTATCAAATGCTACAACCTGAAAAATATCGGCCTTCATGCAACGGGAGCTAAATTCTGGCCACCCAACATGTTCAAAGAGGTGTTTTGTATATTTCTGCTAAGATTCCACGCTGTACATACTTTTTTGGTTCCTTTCTTTGGCAAAATTTATGGGGCAGTTGCAGCAGCTCCACGTTCAAGATGGCGGGCTCTAATCACGTGGTTCCCACATCCATTTCGAGTGCCGCAATTCGGATTCGCAAAAATCAGTGTGAACACTCTTGTCAATCCAGATAAATAATTTTTTCTCCTGAAATCCGAATCATTTTTTGAGCGTGAACAGGGTCTTAGGGTAGGAGACTGGCATCCAGACTCTGACTCTTTTGCATTAATCTAAACCAGCAGCAGCAGTGTAAGGATACTGAGCAGTCTGAGGGCCCCTGCACACATGATACACGGCTCACACGTCACGTAGAGCTGCACTATGGGCAGGACCTCGTTCTTATCCAGACCCACTTTCATACACCACTCCAGCAGCTGACCAACCGCTACCATCTCAGCATGGACTGTCGCCTAGATGGGGAAACATGGAGGATACTGTAAGAAACAGGAGGAGCCAGTAGAAACAGATAAAGACCCACTGGTCCCGGGCCGGGGTTCGAACCCACGACCTCCCGGGCACCAGTCCACAGACACTCTAACCGCTCGGCCGAAAAGGTCTAGACCCATCAGTTGGTAGCGCCTATAAACCCCCCACTGTTACAATACTTTTAGACAACTTCATAGGGCCACACTGACTTAATTTTATGGATGACATCCTCTGAAGATCCCAAAACTAGTGCGCGGGCGAATAAAAAAAAAATTCCAGCCAAAATATGCCGCTAAACCACAGTAACACAAAGCTGACATTGTGAATTTGCGATAGTGACTTTTATACGACAAGCTGGCCTTTTGTGGCATAATATGAGTTGGCACTGTACTTGAGTTCCGTGGAGTTTTGGTAGCCTGGGTGTCGTCCTCCGTATTTACCACTGGCTCCCTATTGTCACTAACTACCATAAACTATGGAGGATGACACCTAGGACAGAGTTTCAGTGATTTTTTTTTAGAACAAGCGAAAATCAAGCCATCGCGTGGAAGTCATCCATAAAATAAAATAAGTGTGGCCTAATGTGGTATACACTGTCTTTCTGTGATCTCTGTGAGTAATTTCATCAGGTTGACAAGAGACTATATAAGAAGGTTCTTCATTCAACAAGTGGGTTTATACACAGTATTTTGTAAGACATATAATCTACAAGTCTTCCCACCACTACTCACATTTTTTGACTCGTTAACTCTGTTGTGTCCCTGTGCTACTATCTGTCCTTGATACACCTATGGCAAGAAAACAAAAATTGAAAAAGGTTGATGCAATGTACAGATTCTGTAACAGTGCAATGCATTATACAAAATGTAAAGTGGCAAAGATCACAACTTTACAAAACACTATTTCTTTATATTTCCTTATAAGTAAACATTTATCTATCATTGTATAACTTGTATAAATTGTATCACTGTGGCAACAGACAATAGTACACGCAGTAAACAAATTGCAATATTACGCAAAGCATAGCTGACAAGTTATCACAAGTTATCACAAGACAATTGATATATACCTTAATTATTTTCAACGTCAATAAACTATAGAATCTGCGTAGTAGGTATAACCTATAAGATGTAAATACAATTGTAAAGAATATCATGCACATGTTGATATCACAGACAATTCACACCAGACAAAGTCCCTGGCTCTCATGTAAGGCTACCCTGGCACACAGACTGTAAGACTCACCACTACTAGTATGGAACAACACAGTCACACTCACTTCTGGCCCCTGTCATCCTCTCTCAGTACTGCAGCTAAATTGAAACCAGTGGATTCGCTATATATATGGGACCCTTATAACTCCCTTATAGTTGCTTTTTAGTGTAATAAATCGGATGGCACCCAGGCTACTCTTGCTAATAAACTTGGAGAAACATATGAATTTTGCTTTCCTGGGCCTAAAATATACTAGTAACCACAGTGACACTAAGGAAGAGGAGAACACATTTCATAGTAGTGATCTTTAGTCTGGTACCAGGGTAGGTCTGCTTGTCATCAGAATATATAAAAAAACACAACAAAATCAAACACAATAAAACGGAGTTGTGTTGTCAGCAGCTTGACCTATCACAGAAGATTCTACACTCTTCTAACAGTTACAGAACAAGTCACTAAAGATGAATTAGATGAAAATATTAGAGTCTCAAAGTCATTGGAAAACTCAAGAGAGAATAGATCAAGACTTCTGTACATGTTCAGTAATACATGTATATTAATTTGAAGACAGTGGATTATAATTTTGACAAAGAGTAATCTTTTTCTTGGTAAAAGTACACTTAATGTGAGATGAAGAGAATTCATTTCATTTAATGTTAGGTTGCAGAAATTTTACGATGCAAATGAATGTATGATACAATTATAGTTTAACATACCGTACAAGACTAAGGGAAAATTCTTGCCGAAATTTTATTAATGCTTCAGGGTGAAAACTTTAATTGTTGTTGTACAGATTTCAAGGAGCTAAAAAAGATCTTCCAGATGGAAAGGAAAAAGAGCCAAGAGTATACGCTTCAGGTTAGAAGAATAGGAGTAAGTGTAGGATCTTTTACAATAGGTCATGTGCAGATTATAGGGAAGGAATATTGTCAAAAACGGAACATAAAAAAGCAAAATGGTTACCATGACACAGCCAACAGGGACCTCCCCCTTGGCCAGAGCTGCTCGAGCCTGCCGGGACACGAAACCGATTATACACACGGTACTGAGCGAGGTTCTACGCTAACGTTCCTCGCTAGAGGGTTACGAGACAGATAGCAGCTTAGACTAGAGTATGCATTCATGTAGAATCTGTTTCCATTTGTTGTGGGTTGGTGGAAAAAGGAGTCCAGTCCAATTGGCGGAAAAAGCAGTCCAGTCCGATTTGGAGGTGAAAAAAGCAGTCCGGTAGCTTCTGCGTGTAGTAGCGCCTACGCCCTTTTTCCACCCCCATATCAGACGGGACTGCTTTTTCCACTGATCGGACTAGACTCCTTTTTCCACCCACCCCATTTGTTGTTGTGGTCCAAACTTATCCAGCTTGGATTGCAGTAAACCGTTGAGTTAAATCTTCATTTCAACAGTACGAACGTAGAAAAATTAGCGCAACTTACTGCAGTCTTCTCAGAGTTTAAGTGACCCGAAACAACTAGATCTTATACCTTTCTTTTTAGGTTCTTGTAACATTGTCAACAGCCTTGAAAACACATTCCACAAAATGCATATTAGTACAAAACTGGCCTCTCGTATCCAAATGCTTGTATCTTCAATTTTTTGCATTTAACAATTTTGGCTAGTTATGATAGACACTCACTCACTAGATATCCATTTTAAAGTCTGCTTTTCCCAGTTTTGCAAGAGTTAGACACTGAATGATCTTGACATCATCTTAGCAACTGAGTTTGAATATCAGCTGTTGTTAGTCAACTTTTTCAATTTTTCATGTCAACAATTGTTCGACATTGTAATTTGTATTGTACTGTATTTACATTGTAGTGTTTGGGAGGACAACTTGTAAAGGTGTCAATGCACCTGTTTTGTCCTCCCTTCCACTTGTATGTTTGTACTTGTGGTGAATTCTAATAAAGAAATAAATATATAATTTGCACACTACTGGAAAGGGTTGCAGTGCTCTTTAAGCTGTGGTCCACTGTACTTCATTGTAATGTAATAGGTCTTGTTGAAAAGAGCTACAATGAACCTGTAAATACAAGTACATAGCTTCTCTGTCAATGAGCTAAACTGGTTCAGAATCACTTTTACTTTCCGTCTTTCTTTTACTTTCACTCATTTTTGTATGGTCTATTTCTGACCAAGCATATACGAATACTAAAAGCCAGCTTCTGTACCGACTATCTTCTACCATAGATAAACAATCATAACAGCATCTGCATGTAAAGGCTGCTGTAGAAGTGAGACTTGGCGTGCGGCGACCCTTCTTTTACCTTCTGATGCCCTCGCGGTCAGCACCACAACCAACCGTCATCATCACATTACCTGTCTGGTGTAAAACGGCTGGTCAGAACAACAACAAACAACAACAACTGTTTACAGAAAACAATTCTACGGATCAAAATATTGTTTGTTCAATAATGGTAGAAGTTCAGTTCATTCCCATATTTATAATTAAAGGTTATAACATTTTAAAGGTTAAGAAAATTATGAAAAGTTGACTTTCTATGAAAAGTTGATTTTCGATACTTGATTATTAAAGTCTGTTACTTTATTCATACTTCACTTGCTTTTCTGTAAATTTAGGAATTTTGAACAATTGTTTTAAATAATCTAAATTTTGATGTTTGTGAGATGGGAAAATGGCATAATAATTTGACTATAACAAATATTGAATGGCAATGACAAGCAAATATAGGGGCAGATTCTTGCTGTATAATAGTTTTATAGAGGTCATTCAAGGTTATTGTACCTTTGCCTCTTTGATTTTGAGAACGTTGACCAGTTTCTTGATCATGAGTTTGTATATTTTGTGTCGAAAATGATGTGCGGTAAAGTATATAAATATCACTCTATCATTTGCAAATATCTTATTAAATGCATGCGTTATTTTCCTAGGAATCCTAGAAATCACAGTTGACATTCATGTAAACTATATTTATCTGTTATGATAAGGCCGACCGTCCAGCTGTGGCGACCTACTTTACACACACGTTCGTAAACTTCCAACGCATCACGCAAGCTGCATACGAAATTTTCGCTGAGACTTCGCAAAAACTGCGTGACGCAGCTCGCTATAACTGCCGATTCCGGGCGTAACAGCACCGCTAAGCGTTGTTTTTAGGTTGTTCCGGGTTTTAGAAAGCGTTTTAAAATGGTTTTTGGCTGGAATTGTGGTTATTTGGCGAGACTTACCAGGTCCAACGCACTGTACATGTACTTCTCGATCTCACCCTGGTCCGCCATGATGAAAATAGTGCAGCACAGAGGTCAAACTACGGTAAACCAGATAAGACACTCACACCACAACAACACTTTCTAATGTTCGGGATTATAAACTATTTTCTCTCAAAAATCGAATCGAATTGAACTCTGATTGTATTTTAACACATAGTAGACCTGTGATAATCCTAAAACTTTGCCCGACCAAACCTTCGAAAAACGACAGAAGTCCATATTGTGTATTTATATGAGGGCTTTTCAGGCTTACCGTACATAGGCCAACCCACTGAAACGCATTACGCAATATTAAAATTACCAAACTGTGCACAGTATATTGATATTAATTGAAGTGTTTCTCATTTCACAGCCCTCAATTGATCTATTTAAACTTCAGGTAACTTGTATATGACTCTGGTCTGCAAATAGTTTCAATGAGTTAGCGACTGGTTATCGAAGGGTCAAAGGTCAGAACAAAGATGGCGGCGGAAGGAATTGTGAAAGGTTCGTCAGTGATTCCGTGTGTGTTTTTGATAGATTTAAGCGAAATCTGTAAGCCTTGTGTAGCATGGGAGTGCAGAAAATCATTCTAAGAGCACCCAAGAGCTTTGCAAATGTGTTAAGATAAATTTTTATGCCAGCAAATTTGACTTAGTCAAGACTTGAAATATCGGGTGGCGTCAAAATTTGGCCCAAGAACTTGAAGAAGACCACTGTAAGGGGAGGACCAAATAAAATCTTGTTTATGTGGACAGGTGGTGACTAGAGACAGGATTCTCAATGCTTGTGTCAATAGGAAAAACGTGTAAGGAATCTCCAAAAAGTGGAGATTGTCACAATGTCCAAGTAGTCCCTCATGTGTTGACGTTTCAAGATAAGTTAGTTATCTGTACTCAATTTTTTATGTTTACCGAAGGAAAGCATATTGTTTTTTCTCAGTTTCTTCTTCTTCTGGAAACAGTGACTTCTGACCTGACCAATGACATGATTTGTTGACGTCTGTCACCATGGTGACTGGTGTTGGGTTACATAATGTTGCAATTTCATGGTCTGTTCTTTTCCTGTCACCATATACTAGTAGTACATGACATTGTATGAGAATGTGTTTGAGTAAGAATTAACAGAGCAGACCATGTCCGAAGGTAAACATTATGCATTTGCTAAATGTTACTTCTCTAGGTTTTACCTTTTTGTTTCCCCATCAGATGTTGGTGAGATCCATGCACGGCTCCTGGACCACAGACCCGTGGTGCAGGGTGAGATCAAATGCTTCGTCAGGGAATTTGAGGTACGTGGGTCATCTCGCACTCATCACAAAGTTTTAGCCAATGTGGCATACATCGATCTCAGAATGCTTCCATACGCACCCATTGATAGAGGAGCAATTTATATAGCACACAAAATATTTTCCCAAAATATGTATGAATGATTGCAAAATGCAAAAGACCAGTGATTGACAGAACAAGTTGTACTTTCAAAAAAATACCTTAAATTAGTGTTAATCACTTTTATAAATTCAATTTAGCAAAATTTTTTGGTCTGTAGAAAATGGACATGTTTGCAGAACTACAATGAATATGTTTGCACTGGTGGGAGGTGCAAAAGAAAGGATGTCGGCAAAGTATTTGTTCAAGGTATATACTAGTAAATGAAATCAGCATATATAGAAGTACCAGAACTATAAACTGATTGACAGTATTTGGTCTTCAGATGCTTAAGCTATCGCCCCCCCCCCCCCCCAAACTAACAGGGCAAGAGGAACCACCGTGAAGAGGAGAGACTGGAATCTGTCCTGAACCACGCACAGCAGATGGGACATACTATCCCAGCATGCACCAGGCTCATGGAGGACAACCTGGCACAGGTCACCGCCAACTGTGAGTAAACACCATTGTTGTTACTGTACTGTCGTTTGCAAGTTTGAATTTGGGCATTCTAGCAGTTTTCTATGGTATTGCAGCTGTTCTTCCGGGTATGATATATTGCTTTTCACATTGGTTCTGATGTTTTTTGTTTGTTATTCCAGTGCGAGTTGCCACATCCATGTGTGAGAAGATCAGTGAAACAGAGGAGAAAATGGCAAAGGTAGGGAGAGGATGGTAGAGAAATCAAGTCCATATGTTTCCTGTAAGAACTATCTTCAAAGGGATATCTCAGTAACTAGTATAAGTCCTAAATGGTTTAAAGACAAGTTGAACAGCCCTTTCATCTATGCTTCTATTTTATGCAGACACCTACCTGTGTTCTAGCCTGTCATTTGACAGAATTTTGCTGCTTATGACAGACAAAAATTTTGCCCAAGTCATCATCTTTGACAGACATCAGTGTAAAGATATGGAAAGAGATGTCATTAAACTGAGCTTAGTCTACCAGCAAAATTTGCCCCTCAAAATCAAGAAAATAATGTTTCAGAGGGTCAAAATTTCAAAAACTCAACATGATGTTATGTCAAACAAAATTGAGATGACAGAAAAAATTCAGTCTGGTTAGAACACTGAGACCTACCATAACCTTTGACCTTTGCAGGCTGACCCCCTGAAGGAGAGAAGGGAAGAGCGGCAGAAGGGGTGGGACGCCTTCATGTCCGACCAGTACGGTCTGAGCGCGGAGGTCGACCGCGAACACGAGATCCTGTCCGACAAAATCAGAGAGCAGCACAGACTGAAGGAAGAGCTACTGAAGGAGGGACAAGTGTCTATGCCATAACCAACTGTTAATTAATAAGTTAAGACTAGTAATTGATAGGTTAATTTTTAGGTATTGATTACCTCAGTTATTTAGCTGGTTCGCAAATACTGGAAAAAAGACCATGTATTCAGAAAATCTGTTGTACAATTTATTATACTTCTAGATCTAAAGAAACTAAATGAAAATCTGCGGTACAATTTATTATACTTCTAAAGACACTAAATGAAAATGTAGCTTTTCAGAAGTAAAATCGCTACCTGGACATTCGGTGGTGATTAAGAGTCTGACTCATTCTGCATTATGTACAAGCATAATACAGTACATATATGTATTATTGCGAGTAAAGGCATGAAGTAAGTGCACTTGTTGATTTTATCTGGTGGATCAAGGAGATTTAGTGTTGGATGAAAGATCCTCAGCTCCTTGAATGGATCATTGTAATTAAAACAGTCCACCAAGACAGACAGTCATCAAACTTAATGCTTTTAAAGACTGCTAATCTTCTTTCTTGCCAAGTAAGTTAGCTCAAGTATAGCTTGCTTTGTCATTATCTCTACATATGTTGCCTGGAGTTGTTCACTTGGCTCAGTTTACCAAAGAGCAGACTGTAACAAAACCTGTTGAGGTTATGGCAATTAGAAGGCATGCATGCCTCTGTACGGCACCATTGGCCAGTTTAATCTAAATGCACGTGTAATTTTTTGTCTCACTCTAATTCGACATTAATTGCACATAATTTTGCACCCCTGGCTAGAATCATTACTCATATACTGATGATATAGTACAGTATTTATCCTAAGCACTACTCTCCAAGCAGAGGTTTGGGTTTGAGGTTATTTTTGGCGTGTTTTTAGGCTTTTGTATCTGGGTTTCTCTTTTGCACTGGAATTTTTTTTTCACCCAACCCATTCCAGTGCAAAAAGAGAAACCCAGATAAAAAAGCCAAAAAAACATACCAAAAATAACCTCAAACCCAAACCTCTGCTTGAAGAGTACCTAAGTACATGTTACTTATGAGAAGGTACTGAGCAGATTTTGAATTTTCTATCCAGTTGCTTGAGTAACTGTTACTTTGGTATGTCATCACCTGGATGTCTAACCTTCATTGACATACAGTATTTATTACTAAGTATAAATATAATCTTTCAGATCTACAAAATTAAAGGATTGGAATAAAATCTAAATATACAGCATCTTGGAAGCGTTGCTAGTAGGACTTTTTGTCGGAGAGACCGTGGATGTTCCAGGTTGCTCGCCATTCGTCTGGACCGAGCTGCGTGCGGTGTGTCGTCCAACCAGCATGCGCCAATCCTGCATGGAATGATGGGAAGACTTGTGCTGCCACCTCATGGGAGGAGTCCACCAGCTCCCATAATGCTTTGTGGTTGGCTGGGATGGGAGAAAAAAAATGAATGGAATTAACTTCAAAGAAATATTTATGAATTCTTATTTTGTGCATGTCTCATAGTTGAATAGCATCCCAAAATGTGCTTTTCAATAACAGAAGTAGATTTTACATAACAAACTATTTATTCTTACTCAAACACACGTTTATACTTGGTATATGGTGACCAGACCCTCCAACTCTTGCCATTGCTACATAATGTAATCCAATACCATGGTGTCTGCTACAGCGCCAGTTACCATGGTGACAGACTTCTGGTTCAGGACATTGACCTTATGTGTCTGGACAAGAAGAGGGAACAGCAAAAACAATATGTTCTCCTTCTGCGAAGGTTATTAATGAACGTGTAAACATGATAACAAATTAAAAAATAAAGCGTACCTTGTTCCACCATAGACTGGAATGCGTTGTCACTAGGAATGAGTGAGTGTGCCTGGAGGTCATAGCAGGGCACGCTGGAGTGAACCTGGAAGGCAACAAGATTCCTTCAAACTAATCTCCAACCAATCAAAAACATCAACTGCCCACATGCAGGCAAAACCTTCAAGTAGATAGAAAAAAAGCAAGTCAAAATCCTTGAAAGAACATTGCAAAGGGTTAGAAATTCAGATATGAGATTGGAAATTCAATGGACTTGCCAGTGGTCTGGCTTGGGCTGGCAGGTTTTTGCTAAGGTACTGTAATTCACTTTATGTCACGGTAGCAAGATTTCACGGTCTGAGAAAAATGAACATGTTCATGGAACTATATATTCATGGTGGTGACAGGTGCAGGAAAAAGAAAGTTCAGGAACTAGAAAGGCCAATATTTGCTTTGGAGCAAATACAGCGATGGGTTCACCACATTTTACCACATGGCAGGGAAAGAATGAGAAACACAAGGGAAAACAATGATTTACATTGATATAACTATAATATGAAGTAACATACAACTAAAACAACAGTTGGATAGCTATTCCCTACTTTATTGGTTAGGATTTTTAATTGCATAATGCAAACTGTTGATTTTCAAAATAAAAAAAACGTCCATGCCCCGCATTCCAATGCTGGAGCAGAAAAGCTTGAAATACCTACCAAAACACTTGAATAAAGACATACTGTCAGTATGGAAATGGTCTGTGCAGGTGTTAATCAAGTTAAATCCCAACAGCCAATCAGCAAGAAATGCTCTGTGCAGGTGGAAATGCTCTGTGCAGGTGTTAATCAAGTTAAATCCCAACAGCCAATCAGCAAGAAGTATAGAGGAAAGCTGCATGCCTATTGGTTGATGCCCTGCATTCCATTGTGATGACTCATGCCCAAACGTGCTAAACAAGGCACACTAACACAGTAATACATTTGCTATAACACAGCCAAAAAACTCAAATAAAACCATTCTAAAAGCCTGTATCACAATAATTTAAAAAAACGCCTAGGGGTATTTGCCCACTGTACCTCCATACCAAATTTCAGGACCTTAGGCCCTAAAATGAAGAAGCTGAATCCATTTAAAAAATGGCAGGAGAAGAAGGAGAAGGAGGAGAAGGAGAAGAAACATCAGAAAAAGCAATATGGGTTCACCACCACTTCGTGGTGTGGTGAACCCATAATTATTTGTTAACTGTAATGATAAGTTCACAGTACAGAAGTGACCGTGAAAACAGTGAACATAACAGTACCATGAAAAAATCAGGAACTACAGTAAGTTGGGAAACTGGAAACATTTTATTTTTTGAGGCCCTACAAGATAGAACATGGCCATACCTGGAGTTTGGAGAACCTGTGTTCTATAACATAGTCAATAATTTCTGCCTGGAAACAGCTTTTTATGAAGTCTAGGTGGGAGGATTCCTGGTGTAGGACTATGTTGATGTCTGTGTGGAGAAAAATCACTTAAAAGTAAAACTTAGTCACTGTAGCTTAGTACACATGTAGAAACAGTAAGGCCTCTATCTAGTAAAATATCCAAATCTTTAAAACACACTTGGATTTTATACAAAGTGGAACAATGTGACAATTGAAGATCTAGAATGTTATAACTTTTCATAACTTCTTAAAACATATATGCAATACACAGTCACTGTAAAATATATATGCAATACATTGTGAGTAGACAACATTTGTGATTTGTAACATTTCCATGCTACACATTAAAATAGTTCTGTTAGAATTTATAAAAAATAGAAGCTCTATACTGTACCTGTTAAAGTGGACATGCCTAGGAGGTACCTCCCCTCAGAGTTACTGTGGATGGCACGGTCCAAGTCTGGTGCCCTTATAGGACAAAGTGAAGAAACAATTATAGCAACATCATCAGTATAGTAACAGTGGGGGTGTTCATAGGTGCTACCACCTGACCCGGCCGATGGGTTAAGACCTTTTAGCTGATTTGGTAGGAGCGTCGGATTTGAAGCTGGTGCTCGGGAGGTCGTGGGTTCGAACCCCGGCCTGGGACCAGGGGTTTTTATCTGTTTCTCTACTCGCTCCCTCTGTTTCTTACATAAAACTTAAAGTTTGTTCCTTACAATAGGCCTGCATCTAGCAGTTCACTTTTATAATCATGTTTGTATTAAGTTTTAATTCTCACCTCTGTATTATAGAACTCATTGGTGATCCCAGCTTTATTCTGGTGGATTTTTTCTGAGCTGTGGAAAAAAAAATTAACATATTAAATCTGAGAAAAAAAGATCTCAACTAGAAAGGTAACATTTGCAAAGCAAATGCATAATGTTTACCTTCACATGGTCTAGCCTAACAAACTACTGCTCTGTTTATTCTTACTCAAACACATCCATTATGTACTAGTACATGGTGACCAGCCCCTCCAACTCTGTTCTGCAACTTGCTACATAATGTAATCCAACTCCAGAGTATATCTGCTACAGCACCAGTTACCATAATGACAGACGTCTGTTCCAGTTCATTGATTTATTTGACTAAATATACTGCCTAGTGCTCCACTGTGTATTGTTGTAACGGTTGTAATTTGAACTAGAAAGGCTACATTTGCAAGGCAAAATGCATACTAGTAATGTTAACCTTCGCATATGGTCTGCTCTGTTAATTCTTACTCAAACACATTAATATATATGGTCAGACATGAGTGTAAATCCCTCCTGCTATGAAATTGCAACATGATGTAACCCGACACTAATTACCATGGCAACAGACACAACATTGGTTCAGGTCAGAGGTCACTGTTTGGAGAAGAAGAAGAAGAGGAGGAAGAAGAAAGTGAGCAAAAACAATATGTTTTCCTCCGGTATTATACCATAATAATAATTAAAAAAAAGTTACAGTAGCGTACCAAACACGACAGGTTCTTGTAGGTTAGCCTGGGCGGGGTTTAGGACCACGCCCGTTTTGAGGTAATGCGACACCAGGATGTGCAGCCGTGATTGGTTCAGCGTCTCCATGACGACACAGGTGACAGCGTTGTAGTTGGCAAACAGGTGCAGACAGGTGAAGACAAAGAACAGGAACCAAGTCAGCCTGGAGGAACGCAAAAAAAACATACCAGTTTGTTTGATTTGTTTGATACTGTTTGTTCATGGAGTTAGAAGGAAATGGTTTGTTCTACCCATATATAATTTCTGAAAATAAGAAACTTGGATACTAGTAGAATCATAATAATATCCAGATTGCTTTTTACATAATATTTTAGCATACCAGGATTATAAGCTTCAATCAGACTCTTAATTATCAAGCGTGGTTTGTTTACAATTGACTGAACCCCCTGCCACCCTAAATGGTTTTACCCAAAACCGGTTTTGCTGCATTCCTTAATAGTACACGTAGCTGCCAAGTTAACACGCCCTAGTAAGCAATGGCGACTGTTCAGTCAAATATGTTCGAGCAAATTCAACAAGAACTGTCCTGCAGCATCTGCCTAGAGCTGTTCACCAGGCCCAAGGTGCTTCCCTGTCAGCACACCTTCTGTCAGGACTGTCTACAGGACCATGCAGGGAGGGGAGGGACCTTCCAGTGCCCAAACTGTCGTCACAAAATCAATCCACCACAAAAAGGAGTTGCCAGCTTCCCTACCAACAACCTAGTGGCCAATTTATGCGACACACTTCACAAGAGGAAAAAAGAATTTAAGGACAAGGACCAGTCCAAAGTGAAGTGTCCTCATCACTGTTCTAATGACATTGACTTGTACTGTAACCGGTGCCAGGTACCCGTTTGTGTGGAATGCTTGGGAGAAAATCACAAAGGTCACTCTGCAACCAGCGTGAAGACAGCCGCACAGGAAAAAACACCTTCCACAGTAAAACTAATCGCTGAAGCACAAAACATAGCGGATACTTACTTCTACAACTTTCTCCTAGATTCGACAAACATGGAGACAATTCTAAATGAACTGAAGCAGAAAAGAGATGTCGAGCTTGACACAGCTCTGGCTAATGCAGTGCAACATCTCAAGGAGACCAAAGCAAGTTTGCAGTGTAAGGATGACCAGGAGCACATCAAGAACATTAAGGATTTGCAGACTCAAAAGAACGAAGTTTCAGATTTTATAACTGAAATTACCCGTGCATGGACTGCTGCAGAGAAGGGAGTGGAGAAGGGAGGGTTGGAGCTTCTTTACACTGAAGCTTCTTTGCTTAAAGTTGTGGAAAAGTTCAGAGGAAAGTCAGTACTGACTCCTAAATCGGTACAGACTGTAGAGTTTCAGCCCACAGACCCTAAGACACTTACTTTGGGTCAATTCTCCAGCTGCAAAAAACAAAGTTGGCTTTGGAGGATGGTCAGGACCATGTTGTTACTGCTACAAGCATCCATCTTTGCTATATGGTGGTTGGGTTTTTTTATGTTAGGAGGTACTTTGGTGATGAATTATGACAAACTGATTTTTGAATTTACTGTTATGGGTGCTATATTTTTGGTGATTTCCTTTTCTATCAGTCTTTATTGGTTGGTTTATCAAGGTAAGATAAAATTCTTGTTACCATCACTGCTATTATTTGCTATCTGCCATGCCGGCTGGCTTGGTATTATTCTTTGGCGTCTAATTTTTTACAAAATGTATGTTGAAGCTGTATTGGTTTCAACAGCTGCTATACTTTCCTGTTTGATCATTATTGTCTTCATTTGGAAGAATAATTGACAAGTTATTAATGTGTAATGCCTAGTAACAAAATGTGTTTCCTAACTGACCCTATAGAAAAAACTGCCGACCCTAGCCTTTTTACCTTCGCCAAGAAGATTATGTTTTCAGTAGCGTTTGTCTGTGTCAGTGTGTGTGTGTGTTTTTGTGGTTTAGCAGGATAACTCAAGAAGCAGTGGATGGATTGGAATGAAACTTGGTAGGTGGGTAGGTCTTTGCGATTTTTGCGCATTTGGCGAAGGTATGTGGTCGTGGAACTCGTGGAACAGCGAGCTACCCTATCAAGCCCCAGCATCAGAGTGCAAGTACGTCTAACCCTCGATTACAGGGAACAACAGACGTTAAACCGGATTTATATATATATATATAAATATATAGAGAGATCTTTTCTAGCTCTATGATCTGACACCTGAGTGATACAAAGGTTTTCCAACATTGACATTGAAAACATGTAAGTGTCCTAATGCAAGTTTTACTTTGTTAAACTGTAATAATTGTATAGTTGGGTCACAAGTTGGATCACTAGAGATTGCAAAAAAAAAACAGAAAGAAAAAAAGATAATCCCTACCCTAATTTTTTCAAGACTGGAACAGGAAAGGCAACATTTTTTTCCTAGGCTTGAATTATTGGAAAAAAAGGGCCTGAACACCCTAGGACTCTTTCAAGGAAGCACTGCTATGGTTAGTGCTGAGGAACTTTTTTTGAATGTAAATGAGGTATTGTTCAATGTTGATACATGTAGATAATATGTCCTGATATCATATACATGTACTCTCATCTGCCGAATAAACATACCCCCCGGAATAAACGTACCCCCCCGGACAAATCTTCAAAATCAAATAAACATACCCCCGGAATAAACATACCCCCGGAAAATTACCAAAATTGACGGGTAACCTGTGTCTCTTGTACTAAAATGCACCCTTACTGATATATGCACAAATCTTTAACTGTTATTTGCAATTAGGAATTTAAATAGACAAAAAAAAAGAGCATTTAATATTTTGTATTTTGATAAGCACCACCCATGACAATAGAACATTCAGACGAATTTATGCACGCGGTGATTGCAAAAATCGGCCCGAAAATGACAAGTTTCTAGCTACAATATGCGTTTATAAACGTCTTCACGTCGATGATTTGTCAATTTTTTTCACACGAAGTTGAAAAAAATTACTGGTTTTCAAAAAATTAATAAACGTACTGTGCAAAATAAGAACGTACTGGGTGGATGTTTGGGCCCAAAAAAATAAACGTACCCGTATGTTTATTTGGCAGATGAGAGTACATAGATATTGATATTTCACAATCATTTCTCATTGCAATAATGTATCGTTGCTGTCTATTGGTTAAGCAAAAAACAAAATCATTGTAAGGCCATTGTAAGGCCATGTTGATTTGATTATATGGATGACATCCTCTGGGAACCCCAAAACTGATGCGAGCGTGCAAATTAAAAGAAAAAAGTTTGGCAAACAAATTTTCCTTCATTATGATTATGAAATCTATGTATTCACAAAGGTTGAACAAATGACTAAACACACAGAGTATGGTATGGCGAATAATAATAGACTCTTAAAATTTCATTTCTTCACATTTTCTTCTTTTCCTGAATGGATTTCATACGATTTACAGTATGGTCGAAAACTTTTTTTGTGTAAACGGACGAAAATTAATGCGAGAGCAGATGTCATCTATATAATCAAATCAACACGGCCCAATATGTTATAATTGTAATATGTAATATGTGTACTAACAGTGGATTGTCTGAGACCAGAGGAGTGACCACCAGTCCTGCTAGTAGTGCCATCAGGTTCACTAGAGTCTCCTGTAAGAATAGGGGGCAATAAACTAATCATATCATATCATATAATGTCATGTCATATCATATCATATCATATATCATATAATGTCATCATCATATCATGTTGTTTAGTATTCATTATGACAAATAACTCATAAAGTCTTTGTAGCCTTCTAATAAAAAAAAGAATACGACACTGTATAGGAGTATAGAGCAAAGATAATTATGCAATACATGTAGAGACTTTTGTACATTACATGTCATTAGAAAGAAAAAAATCAAGACTTAGTACATCTAACAAGAATTACAGAAATTCTTACAAAAGAAAACTATCATTTTGGTAGATAAATTTGCTTGAAATAAACTTTTAATTGTCAGTTATTGATAGTAATAATTCAAATGTTGGATACCACTACATGTCTTTACTGTTTTTTGATGCTAGAGTTAACTTTTTTTGATCTACAGGAAGAAGTAAGAAGATTACTCAATATTAACCTTCTTCCTGCTGCCTAACCCTGTAACAACAGAGAATGCATTGGTAGCCAAATGGCTACTTCAGTATGCTAAAGGTTAACCTTCTCCCTGCTACCTAACCCCTTAACAAAAGAGAATTGGTAGCCAAATGGCTACTTCAGTGTGCTAAAGATTAACCTTCTCCCTGCTAACTAACCCCATAACAACAGAGAATTGGTAGCCAAATGGCTACTTCAGTGTGCTAAAGGTTAACCTTCTCCCTGCTACCTAACCGCTTAACAAAAGAGAATTGGTAGCCAAATGGCTACTTTAGTGTGCTAAAGATTAACCTTCTCCCTGCTACCTAACCCCATAACAACAGAGAATTGGTAGCCAAATGGTTACTTCAGTGTGTGAGGGTTATAAGAATAATTCCCGTATGTCTGACCTGGCTCCCGTCCTTGGCGGACACGTCGGCCATGTTGTCTCGACGTGCCTGGTGCATGGTGAGCGCCGCTCGTGTTGCACCGCCGGATACGCCAACAATAGCCTATCAACAGTCATACAAGCAGATCAGGCAGTAAGGCCAAGAAATGGCAAAGAAAAAGGAACTTTTAAGGAAAAGAATATGTTTGTGTCCATGGGAAAAATCATCTATGAAACCACCAGAAAGTGGACACATTGGCCAGTTGGTCCTTATGTAGAGGTGGTCACTCATAGGTTTGACTGTATATCAATGACCAGGTGGTCCTTATGTAGAGGTGGTCACTCATATAGATTTGACTTTAAATTAATGGCCAAGTGGTCCTTATGTAGAGGTGGTCACTCATAGGTTTGACTGTATATCAATGGCCAAATGGTCCTTATGTAGAGGTGGTCACTCATATAGGTTTAACTTTAAATTCATGGCCAAGTGGTCCTTATGTAGAGGTGGTCACTCATAGGTTTGACTGTAAATCAATGTTCACATGGTCCTTATGTAGAGGTGGTCACTCATATAGGTTTGACTTTAAATTCATGTCCAAGTGGTCCTTATGTAGAGGTGGTCATTCATAAGTTTGACTGTATATCAATGACCAGGTGGTCCTTATGTAGAGGTGGTCACTCATATAGGTTTGACTTTAAATCAATGGCCAAGTGGTCCTTATGTAGAGGTGGTCACTCATAGGTTTGACTGTATATCAATGACCAGGTGGTCTTTATGTAGAGGTGGCCAGTGGCCACTAGTATAGGTTTAACACTACGAAATGTATATCAATGCCCAGGTGGTCCTTATGTAGAGGTAGTCACTAAAACAGGTTAGACTGTATATCAATGGCCAAATGGTCCTTATGTAGAGGTGGTCACTCATAGGTTTAACTGCATACCAATGGCCAGGTGCAGGGCCAGGTGGTCCTTGTGTAGAGGTGGCCACTGACTCTCTGTACATATAATAAATCGATCCAGCAGAAAAATTCATTCATTGTTGCATTCCTTTAATGTTATTACTGGTAACTTCCCAACCCTTGCCTGGCTTGGTTCTTACCTTGCCTACCCCTGCCACACACACGATCCCAGTGAAGAACAGAGGGAAGGCTGGGGCAACCAACTCCAGAAAGATGGAGAAATCATTCACAATGTCAGCAAACAACCTGGTAAAAACACAAAAAAAACACTGTTTACTTAATATTTTGTATTATGTAATGTTATAGGTGGATGTGTAAACTTCAATTTATAATTAATATAAATTTTAGCAATGTGTAATCGATAATAGCTTTTAACAGCATATCTTAACGATATTTTGTGTTGATCACAGAGCAATTCAGGCATCCAGTAAGATTGCCTGCGAGTCTGTTGTCAGAGTGTATTGTGTATTTCTGTTTGAGTTTCTAAATAAACCATTCTACTACACTGAGAACTGTGCATAACAATTGGAAGTGTCTTTCAGCACCAAGGACAGGGCTATTATAATCAGTCATGAGTTCCATTATATTATAAGTCACTGATGAAAGGTAGTGGATGCTATCTGAAACATCTGACTATTCAGAGGATTTAACTAGTTTCTTGATTTATTTTGTATCATGTAATGTTCTACATGGATGCTTAACCTTCATTGACACTCTTGTATGTCTTTGTTTAACTTCAAGGACTACTAAGAGCATATAACTCACTCCAAAATTTGATTTGAAAACTAGAAAGGCAACATTTGCAAAGCAAATGCATAATGTTTACCTCCGCATAGGGTCTGCTCTGTTAATTCTTTTATAACTCAAATACATTCATATATGTATATGGTCAGACAGGAGTATAAATCCCTCCTACTATGAAATTGCAACATTATGTAACCCAACAACAGTTACCATGGTGAAAGACGTCAAGAAGTCAGGTCATTGGCCAGGTCAGAGGTCAGTGTTTGGAATGGAAGAAGAAGAGGAAACGTAGCAAAAACAGTATGTTTTCCGTAAGTTTGGAGAACATAATTAGAAATGAAGTGGTATTGCCTGGTATTGCAAACCTTACCTCCATCTTTTTGCATCACAGTCCAAGCTTGTTCTGACAGAGAAATGAGCAAGAAAGTAAAATTAAACTTGCAAATTAAACTTACACAAAGTACATACACCAAGATCACATACATTTTGGGCCACATTGTTTTTATGTCCAGTAAATATGTAGCTATTTCTACTTCAATACACATTATGAGGTTAGAAATAATACTTCCCAAACCCTGCAACATGTTGCCAAGACAGTGTGCATGTAAAGAAACACTGCATTTTACTTTTTTTTCTTAGGAAGACATGTTTAGAGATATGAAATCTATTCATATCTTTTATAGTAATAAAATGTTGTGAGAGCTCACCCCTGTATCCAAGCAAACAGAATCCTTCCTAGCATACCGGTGCCATCTGCAATAATTAAAGATGTAAATATGTAATTACAAGAAGCATTATAACTCTGATAATAATAAAAGAGAGATTTTCTTGTTATGTATTAATAGGCAAGATACTACAAACCAATTATTTTGCATGGTAAGACATCTCAAATATGATTTTTTTTCTTTACTATCCAAATGAATGAATGAATACTGGCATGTACCACCTACCCTTGAGGATCCATGTAATGGTAGCTCCCGCAGCTGTGGCTGTTTCATCTCCCACTCCCACTCCCTTCAGTACAGCCTGGGTGGCCAGGGTTCCTGTGATGCTGCTGCAGAAAGCCTGGGGGGCACGAACAATAACTTAATAAACCTTATACATCTGTAAAAGTTATATAATACAGCACTTCAGGATGTCGTAGGAAAAGAAACATTAAACAGGGCTGAGATACCACTTACCTTAGATCAGGCCACACCAATTTAATTTGTTGGTTCTCGGATTTTTTCAGAAAAAATATGAAGCGACAGGGCGAAAAAAAAAATAAAAATAAAAACAGGTCTAGGCATCCTATTATAGGCTTCAATGCTACGAAATGAGCCATGAAGTCAGCACAAAAGGCTGGGTTAAAATTTAAACAATGAATTTTGAACTTTTAATCAAACCACTGTAATGATAGATGGGCAAACTGTAACAACTAGGAAGAAAAGGACTCAACTGTTGGGGGCAAAATATGAGCATATTTGAGTTGATGCAGAACCAGAATCATTTTTTTTTTTTGCAAATCAGAAAAAAACGAAGAGGCGAATCCGAGAACCAACAAATTAAATTGGTGTGGCCTCATATATAAATATATGTAACGTTACATGTACACATGTATGTACTTTTGATGAATACTAGTATCTTTAAACAATACAAGTGACAAACAGAATTATAAGCTACTTTAGGGAGCGTTCGAAATGCACTCAGACTGTCTCTTTGTCAACCCAGTAAGATTGAATGAATGAATACATTTCTATATACGTACAAAAATGTACTGTACTTAAATTTGTAGGCAGTCAACCAAAATCAACGTAATTGTGTAATCCACAGTGACATATGTACTACATGTATTTTACTTCCCTCACATGCTGGGTCCCATACCAATTATAAATAAGAATAGCATTCCATATAAGGAGGTACATACCTGTACAGTGTCCCATATTTGGTATGACAGGTAGTCATCACTCACACTCTCAGGGTAGCCTTGGGGCAGGAACACTGACTGGGGTTGGGGGAAAAGGAATTAATATATAATAATGATAACCATGATTTGGTGACATTTTCTACTCAACAAAAATACACATATTAGCCATGGTCTGAGTTAGCAATTCTGTTGAAATTTCAAAAAAATTAAACCAAATACATTGATTGATTGATTGATTGATTGATCAATGAATGAAAAGTATGAAGAACTCAGTACCATGGGGTTGTGTGGTGTAACGGCAGAGAATTCGACTCAGAACCAAGAGGTCCCGGGTTCGAATCCTGTCGAGTCAACAACCTAGGCCTTGTGCCCTTGGGAAAGGTACTTAAAACAACTTTCCTCACTTCACTCAGGTGAAAATGAGTATGCCAGAATGAGCATTATCATGCTCGTGGGCATTAAAGGAAAACCAACCAACCAATAATCAACTAACTCTGAGTACAAGTTAAAAAAAACCTCTGGCCTGAATGATTTGATTGGTTGGTTGGTTGATTGATTGATTGATTGGTGAGAACCTACCCTGAAGAACTGTATCACTGAAGAGAACTTCTGTCCACCAATGGCTCGCTTCACGATGGTGCCATCGTCCAATCGGGTGTAGCGTTGCTGCAAGCTCTCCGAGCCATAATGTTCCTCGCATACGGTCGTTTCTCCCATGTCTGTCAATGCACTAAAAAGTATATTATAACATGATCTGTTAGTGGGTGCAATTTCTGTGTTCTGAGTTAATTTTTGTATTATTTAGTTATCATTTAACGAAGATATGACTTTTAATGTAACAAAATGTATAACCACATTTCAGTTGTTGGCCAAAACATACTTGTGATTTTTAGGAAAATCAAATCTAGTTGTTCTAAATGAGGCAACGACAACGTACAACACAAGCGATAACTTTAAAATTATATTTGGTATGAGCAAGGGGCGTTTGTTTTGATGTCGTGCAGGCTCTCGCAACAAGGTGGCGCTTCTGCCTCCAACTTTCCTCACAAATTTCTGTAATTTTAACAACGCCACTGTGCACAACACAGCTAAATTTTCACGCCAAAAGAAAAATAGCATTAGTCCTAACGTTTCTGAACATCATACCTTATTTAGACGCTTTTTATAAAGTACAGTCGGTGAAAATTTGGCCAACTCACACTTTTACTGGCACTTCGGCTGCCATGTTGGCTGTGACCTTTAACCCCTTCCCAGATACGCCTGCGTGAGGTATATCTGTGCTCTGATTGGCTGGTTTGTAAAAATTCTGGTACGTATGGACCAATCGGAGGGCTCTATTTCCCCGTCTCAGAGAAGTGACCCTGCAACTGAGAGGCGCCAAGAAGTTGAAACGTTTTCGCGATTTCGTCCCCGATTTTGAATGAAAATTGCCGTTTTATGGGGACATTTTGTCGCAGCCTGCTCCAGAGGAAAGCTTGAGCACTCTCTGATCTCTTATCTGCTGAGATAAGGTGAGTTTTGATGTGCTTTTGGAGCTACCGATCGTCAAAACTTCGCAAACGTGACAGAAACTTGTTTGAAAACTTGGGCATGAAAATACTAGTATGAGAGTGGGGAGGGGGGTACAGACGGCACAAGCTTTTCTTAGATTTTCCCCCTATTTTTTCCCCCTAACGTCCATTTTATGCAAGAAAACATGCTAGAGAAGTGCTACAAGGGCTTGCTCAATCATGTAAGGTTATTTGTACGTATTATTTTTATAACATATAACGTTAAGTTCAATTTCATAAATGGGCGTTTTGATATGTAAGCCAGCCTTTTTCATTAATATTTTTGGTGTGTACGCTTTGAAAATTATGTACAGGTGGCAAACCACTGTAATAAGTGAATATCCTCTGATTTGTATATGTAAAATTACATTGAAGAAGGCCAGACATGCAGGTAGTAAGCTACCACCTCTATTTTACATATCAATTCATAGTTTTGGGATAGATACCTGTTGAATAGGGTTCTGACGAAAAGTAATGGGGGGTGCCCTTATTCCATACTAGTTTGAAAAATCCTTGTTGCAGCGTTATGCATGGGAGCACGACAATTTTTTTCCTAGGCCTCAACACACATTGGTTGATACCGTTGTTATAAAATAATATTATTTTAAAGTTATATATGTATACTCTCCACAGAATGCCCAAACCACGCAGGAAAAGTTTTGGCGCTGCCTGCCATGCCATATCCAGCACTGCGGAGTTTGAGGAGGGCCAAGATGATGACGATTTCGACTCTGATTCCGAGTCCTGTTCGTCCGAACCACCCATGGATGACCCCAAATCACCTAGTAGTGACGAGGAAGAAAATATCATAGATCCAAGCATGTCTGTACACATTACAGATGACGCCATCACTCCTGAATGTATGGCAAAGTTACAACCGACAGTCCTACTAGAGGACTGCCTGTCTCCGAACGTTTCCCGCCAAAATACGGCCTCTCCCGTCCCTCTAAACAACGACTGGAAGCCATCACCTTTAGCCGGCACACAGAAACAATCCGATTTAGACAACAAACAACAACCTAAAAGACAACAGAGGAGCGATCACCGAGCTTTGAAAAAGGCCAGGGAAAGGAGTGGCTCGCCAGTACATAACCTCTTATCGAGGATTCTGACCAAAAAGACGGGAATTGAGACCGTCTTGTCGCCTTTAAGTAAGGATAAACCATCTGGAGACAAGAGCCCGGAAGCCGCACCCTCCCCCGATAGTCTAAACCCTGACAGTCCGGGAGAGAGTTCGGCAAGGGAAGGGCTCGAGGAAAATAAAACATCGACTGTTACTCCGCTGAAGGAAAACTTGGCGTTGACGCGAACAAGGCTGACAAGTTCGCCGGCGGTGTATGAGTCGCCGACGAAATCGCAGTTTACGCGGGTGCACGGGAGTCCGTATCCACCGGGGTCGCCACAGATGAGTCCCGTTGTCGTGCTTCACGACTGCTGTACACCGCCGCGGGGTACCAGGCAAACCAGGTTAGTGTGCCAGTAAAAATTATAATTTTACAGTCATTAATTTGGGCCTGACCAGTAGAAGGACTGACAGAGGCCGTGTTTTAGCCAAGCAGATTGTGCCCAAAATATATGTAAATTTTACATTATTGTATATAATATAGACTAGTGAACAATTTTTCTCAATTTTTTGCTGCTCCTATTCTCAAGCTTTGTTGAATTTTTCTGTGTTTTTGCGTTGATATACAAATGTATTCTACAAATTAAGTTTGCAGTGAATAAGTATGCATTGAACAATATTGTGTGTATGTACACTACAGTGTTACTTTGCAATTTCTATTTAGAAATAGGAAAAAACACACTTATTCTAAATGTTGCTTTGTTGTGCGATGACTCTTTCTTTCTTCTTTGCTTTGGCCATTAGGTTTTGAAAAATTGATTCATTGATGAGGTTGTAAAAGCTAATTGATTGATTGATTAATTGATAAGGTGTTGACACTTAGTTGATTGATTTATTGATTGATTGATTAGGTTCTAAAATTGATTGATTTCATCATGTCTAAGTTCTGATAATTGTGAGTTGAGGATGTTCATGTGTATCATCAGAGCTCAAAGGATGGCCTCCTGGTATGTGGAGGAAGATGATGATGATGATGATGAAATGGCAGAACTTCTGGAAAAGGAGGAGGAGGAGGAATATGTGTTCCCAGAACCACTGTCCACGTCTGCTGAGAGTAAGCACATCCTTCTGTTTCAGTTTTTTGTTTCTTTGTTTCACATAATCAGTAAACCGCCTTTAGGTGTTAGTGTCCCTTGACCAAGAGATCTTGAGTTCGAATCCTGGCCATTTTTGCTTACACCCAACTTGCATGCTTCTAGAAATGGTCACAGTCCTCAGATCAGGGAATAGCTTTTCGTCATAGCTATTCATTGTTCTTGTTAATTTTCTTCAAGTTTGGGTATACAAATGTGCATATGTATCCAGTAATTTGAGCCCTGTAAAATCTTTAATGTTCAGAAAATTTAGAAGCCTTAGTTGTTGGGATGTCTAGACTGATTGTCTGTTGTCTGTTCCAGGTTTCTTTGGGAGAAAAGTAGAGGCTACAGTAGAGATCCACGGTGAAACCCTGGCTGAGAGTTCCCTCTACCATTCTCTGGTGAGTCCCTACCTACCGACCATAATATTTTCAGGACTGAAACAGGGAACACAACATTTTTTTCCTGGGCCTGAACATTGCAAATGTACTACCAGTAGTATGCAATTCCAATCAACATACAACTCTACTATATTATAATTGTTTCAACTGTAAACTTTTACAGATTTAAAGCAATTTGCTTACCTTCCTTTTCGCTCAAACAGCAAAATTAAACTACCACAAAAAAAGTGAATTTCCAGTATTTATTCTGTCTGTGTTTCCAGTCTTGCAGCTCTAAGAGAAGACAGGCATTACTGGCCCCTGTCCCCACCAGAAGAGCCAGGTACAGCCTCAGACACGCTAAACAACACTTCAAGAACGGCTGTATCATCAACGGCAACGATGAAATCACATTTATAAGGTAACCATGCGAAACTATAAGTGAAGGGATATTGGGATTTTCTTAAAATTTGGGTGGCGTAGTGGTAGAGCGTTCGCCTATGAACCGGTGAGACCCGGGTTCGATCCCGAGTCGTACCCGGAACATGTCTGAACATGCACCCTGACTCAGTGCCCTTGGGAAAGGCACTTTACACGACTTTCCTCAGCCCACCCAGGTGTGAATGGGTACCTAACTTCGATTGGGGAAAGCCGTATTGAGGTCACCTTGTGGCGCCGAATGGCAGCCGCACAGACCCTTGTGACAAGTACATGTGTAGCAAATATGTTATCTGTATCATGTGTATTATGTGATTGTAAACCCTGCATCAATTCAGTGCTATAAAAGGCTGCGATAACACAGGTAACATTTGACCAGTAAACTATTTATATTATTATACACAACCAGGTATTCTTCCTACCTTGCTTACAAGTACCTTTGGATGTCTATCAGACACCTTCCTCAGAGCTTCTGACTGGAGTACTGTAACAGTTACATATAGCGTCGAGAAGCAGAACTCCAGTCAGAAGCTCTGAGAAAGTGTCTGATAGACATTGAAACGTCAGCAAGGTAGCAAGAATACCTGGTTCAAAGTTACCTACACCAGACAAGTTTTACCTGCACTACAGTTTCTTTGCCTTTCAGTTCATTAAAAAATTGAAATGTTTTGTAAAAAATGTTGCTAGTCAAGCACCATGTTTAATTTTGCTAAGTTTGGAACCAAGAGATCCCAGGTTCGAAGCCTGCCATGTCACCGATCTTGTGCTCTTGGGAAAGGCACTTTACACGACTTTCCTGGATGGAGGCCTGGCGAACCTCTTCTTGTATTAGCCACAAAAAGGCAGCAGAATCTTCAGTAGTTGACGGCGGCTGCCTCAAAATGAAAGGAAAAAAAAATTACGATGAAACTTTAAAGACATGACTAGAATTTAATTTTTACTCACTAATACCTTTCCTTCTTGTAGCTGCTTTTGATAGACTACCGGTAGTGAAATAAAAGTCTTGTAACAACTTAAACCTGTCTTCCCCTGCAGTAGTACCAAGACGACAGCTAAGGAGCTTCTGAAGGAGACCAGGAGAAGACAGAGGAGTCTTCACTTCACCCCCAGCCCTGTTCACCGCAGGAACAAACGCTTTAAGGGGGAGGGGAAGACTGGGGACCCCCCCAGCAGGTCAGTATGGGGAGGGGTAAACTCATTCTTCTAAGGCCTTAATTAAAATATTAAAGAAATGTTGTGTTTCCTGTTTTAGTCCTGAAAAAAAATTAGGGTTATAGATAAGTAGGTAGGGATTATATTCTTCTTTTTTTAAATCAGACTTTGGCGATCTGGTTCTTGAGTTATTCTCCTTTGAATAGTTTTCAACAAATGCTCCTGCATTTCTTACTTCTTAGGCCAAGATCTATCCACCAACCAAAATTTGTGACCCTACCATGTCCAGATCATGAGATATCAAAACTGGAAGTTCTGCTGCAGTACCTAGGAATGCTGCCAGGGGGGCCCAAAATCTAATCTTTTCTAGGTCTCATCAAGACCTACCCACCTACCAAGTTTCATATCAATGCATGTTAAGCTTCTTGAGTTATGCTGTTCACAGACAGACAAACAAACAGACAGATGGACAAACGCTACTGAAAGCATAACCTTCTTGGCAAAGGTAATATAATAAGTTAATTTTAGGAAACATTCTGACTCTGAGGACAGCAATTTTCAATGATTCCTTCCTTTTCCAAAGTTGTTTCATCACCATCATTCTCTGTCTTTTCCACCAGAATGTCTACCAGACTACAGAGACAGCGAGCACCTGTCACCAGCAGTCCTGAGGAGTCTCAAGACGACTGTCTCACAGCGGAAGAACTTCCACCAACGTCTGAAGAACCCATGGAAGACCCCGCTGGTAAATCTTACTATGTCCTGTTTGACCCCGTCCAACTCTGTATCCTGCAGTTTCAAACTGGATTGTTTTTATGAAACATTGTTAGGCCACACCAATTTAATTTGTTGGTTCTCAGATTCGCCTCTTCATTTTTTTCTGATTTGCAAGAAAAAAAAAGATTCTGGTTCTGAATCATGCTCATATTTTGCCCTCAATAGTTGAAAACAGTCCTTTTCTTCCTAGTTGTTACAGATTTTCCATGTATCAATGCAGTGGTTTGATTAAAAGTTCAAAATTCAATGTTTGAATATTAACCCGGCCTTTTGTGTTGACTTCATGGCTCCTATCATACCATTTGGGGCTATCAAAGGATGCCTAGACCTGTTTTTATTTTTTTTAAATTTTTCGCCCTGTCGCTTCATATTTTTTCTGAAAATGTCCGAGAACCAACAAATTAAGTTGGTGTGGCCTTATATCTAGCCTCAATCAGAGGCCTAAATAAGGGGTTATGGTTGATGGAATTTGGCAAAAATTGAAGGGTGAGGCTATGGTAAGGCTAGAATTTCGAAACCCTACGGTGGCCAATTTTCCCTGGAAAATTATTGCCTTCGACTGAAGGCTATGCCTTCGGAGAAGGTTATGAAATCGGGTTTGCACTGTTTGGCAGATTAGGCACGATAACTCTTGAAGGCAAGGTCCGAGGTTCACGATTTTTGGCAGGCAGGTTGATTTAGGGGTGGCCATTGTCAAGGCTAAAAATGGGCTTCGTGGGGGGTTCCTAAGTCACTGTAGTTGACCTTGGTTTTTGGTGTTTTTTCCTTGTCATCAAGATATCTCGAGAATCCTTAAATGGATGTTCATTATTTTTAGTGGGCAAGTTACCGTTGAAAATGCCGAGGTCAAGTTCAAAGATGGGCCCCGTGGGGGTTTCTATGTCACTGCAGTTGACCTTTGTTTCTTGTGTTTTTTCTTGTCATCAAGATAACTCGAGAATCTTTAAATGGATGTTCATGTTTTTTAGTTGGCAAGTTACCATTGACAATACCAAGGTCAAGTTCGGATATGGGCTTCGTGGGGGGTCCCCACGTCATTGAATTAGAAAGTACTGCAGCGAAACTTCTGGTTTTTAAATCTCGTGATATGGACGTGCTAGGGTCATGATTTTTAGATGGTAGGTAGCTCTCGTGCTCAGAAAGAAGTGCCGTAAGTTTGGGCCCCGTAGCAGCTTATTTGGGAAATGCAGAGGCATTTGTTTGAAAATGTTTGAAGTAGGATAGCTCAAGAACCGGTTGACGGATTGTTGTTATTTTTGGTATCTCGGTAGCTTAAGTGATGCTTGACCTAATTAGATGACAATTATGCAAATCACAATCTAATTTACATAATTAATGACAAAAGTCTATAAATCTGCTGCGTTCCATGATAGAACAATTGAAATGGTGGCATATTTAAACAAGAGGAAGAGGAACATTGACAGATATTAATTATGTAAATTGTGACCCAATTTGATTAATTAATAAGAGAAATCTATATGTCTTTCATACTGCACTAGACCTTTTTGGTTTCCACCCTCTGTGGATTACATTGCTTTATGCCCACAAGGATAGCTGGAAAAAACTTTCCTGTTTGTTGAAACAACAGAATCCTTGCGAAATTGGCGAAAGTGGCGCTTAATGCTGCATTAATACTGAAAGTTTTAATACTGGGTTAATGCTGGGTTAACGACTCGGCCAGCCTTCAAACACACATAGATACATCATTCATAATGTACAATGTAGAAAAGGCAATCTTTCTTTTTATTAATATTTGTTACATGTACTGGAGCAACTGCACAACTCTTGTAAAATTTGTGAACCCTGACACAAGACTGCACAAATGTACACGCTAATGTTGTAGGGAATACAGGAAACCTATTCATATCTAGGTTAAAACAACAAGTTACAGACAGGAAGCTGTCAACATTGGTTTTAGTTGAAAAAACGTTTTCTTTGAAATTGTTTGTTGAAAAAACATTAGTGGCCCAGTGCCCCAGCAGAGCGTGCTTTATTTGACAGGTCTGTGGCCCCCAGTGTGAACATCTGGAATTAGCCTGGTTGCCAGACCCATAGCACTCTGGACACAAAGTATCTCAGTTTGGCACCCAGGTAAATCTAGGAATATGGATAATGTGAATAGGTTTCCCGTAATACCTACAACATTAGCATGTACATTTGTGCAGTCTTGTGTAGTACATTTGTGCATATCGTATCGTAATGCAACAGGAGTTAAAGATTTAAACCCGATATAAGGTCACAAACTTTGTTTTAATCGATAACATAGTTGGTATACTGTACACAATGGCCAGGTCACTAGAAGGAAGTGGTCTGAACGCATTGAGCAGTATCTAATCTTTATAAGCTTTGTGGCTTTAGCGAGGAGCACGGCGGTATTCTATGAATGACTTTGAGTTTGATGCCTGTAATCTTCTTCATAATGGGTCGTGTGGAGAGGGAATAGAGAAGCCCTGCCATTGAAAGGATAGATTTTCACGACCATATTATGGTCCGATGGGCCCCCACAAGAAAACTAACATAGCCAAACTGCGTCGCCAACCTGAGAAATAACCAGTAAATAACTACTAGTTCAAAAATTGAAGATTGTTAAATTGCAACTAGGATACATATTTTATTTGAATTCTATCCAGGATAAATTGCATTGACAGGATAGACTGGGACGGTTAGGTAGGTCACCCGAGGCTGACCTCAGCCCTGCCAGTCGTACCTCTGGGAACGTCCCCGGAGGACCTGGGCTAATCTATACCACTATCCGGGCTGGAATAGAAAGTCGGGCTGTTTCCTGCTAAAAGTTTGATACGACGGCCCCTCTAACAAGTAAGGCATATATGATAAATGAGTTTCTCTTTGTGGAGGAAGATTAACTTTCTACCAGGCACCATGGATCACTGGAAAAATAGTAGAAAACGGCCAAAATAAAGGGAATAGTATGCCGCTAAAGGGTCAGATAGCCCGCTAGAGAGATACAACTCACCGGGAGGAACCCATTTATCTTACATACCACATACCATCACAACAATTGGCCAGTTTGTGTGATTTTGTAACTTGCAATTGTCTTCAATGTATTGGACATCGCACGCTTCAACAACACTGGCTGCATAGAAGAATAATTTAGTTGAAGGAGTTTTTGCCGTTTTGAAGTTTGGATCACCGCGTATCGGAGGGAAGAAAACAACCTTTCGCGGCCAGACTCCCCAGGCCAATTCTCCTCTTCTTTTTGCCGAATTCTACGATCCGTATTTCCGTAGAAAGACATGGTACAGGCTTGGTGAATAGTCTGTTGCTTCGTTCACTACGATAATCATCTTCACAAAAAACCTACACTATACACACACACAACACCCACCAAAACAATATCACACTGTCGAAGGCATGAGACCTCCGAACTCTAGTTGAATCTCTGTATTTGGCTAAATTTCACTATTTTCAGCCAGCATTGTTTGTCTTATAATTTCGTTATACATCTATCTGAAATTAAGTGTATATAACTTGAAATTGACCGTAAGTTAAAATATTGAAAAACTGTTTTGAAAAGGGAAAAGCGAATAAAATTTAGACATAATGCTGTGAAACAGCAAAATAATGTCTCAGCCAAACAAATGTATATATCAATTAACTTACTGATCAAGATTTTAATGGACTTAACACACAGATTTGGGGTTTAAGGCATTAATTTTTAATGATTATGGAAATGTATTGTCCTTTAATAAAAACAAGTGTTAAGTCAATAAAATGTATGAAATATTCCAACAGTGTCATGTTTTTAATGCATGAATGGTCTCTGCTAATTGTTATATTCCGAATTTTATTCAAAGATAATTAGTAACTAATATGTGAAAATCAACAGATTCTCTTCAGACTAGCTCTAATAAATTTAAAGTCAGGGAGTTAATTTTCACATATTCTTGTTAAAATTTCAACTAGTTTAAAAAAATTGACTTACTGAGTACCCAAATTTCTGATTTGAAAATTAGGGCGAGTCCAATTTTTTGCTTGAAATCGAAGTACAACTTTTCTTCAGAACACTTCAAATTGTAATAAACACTACAATGGGGAAAGTGCAATAAAAAGAATTGTAACTCTTTTTACAGGGCTACATGACCAGTCCAACGTTGTCTTCTACGATGAAGTGATACTGTGTCCAGAAGAGGATGATTTTCAGGAAGACTCCTCAACAGCAGAACTCCCCCATTCCAGCTGGTCACTCTCTCCACCAACCACAAGGCCCCAAAGTACAGGTTCAGGGTCTCCACCAATCAGAGAAGAGCCCTGCAGCCCTCCACCAATCACAGAGCTGCTCACCTCTCGGTCTCCTCCAATCACAGTGTGCCAACCCACTCGTTCTGAGTCTCCACCAATCAGGGAAGAGCCCTGCAGCCCTCCACCAATCATAGAGCTGCTCACCTCTCGGTCTCCTCCAATCACAGTGCACCAATCTCCTCGTTCTGAGTCTCCACCAATCAGAGAAGAGCCTTGCAACAAAGGATTTGAGTCTCCTCCAATCAGAGAAGAGCCCAGCAGCTCAGTAACTGTGGTTCAGCCAATTACAGACCACAACAGTACCACAGGATCAAACTTCCAACCAATCATGGAGCAGGACAGCAAGGCTGGATCTGAGAATCCACCAATCACAGAGGAGGAGACCACCACTGAGCCTCAACCAACCGTAGACCAGCCTAGCAACTTTGAATCACAGTCTCCACCAATCAAAAGCCAAACAAGTCTCTTGAAATCAAGTCCATCCCCCAACACAGTTGAACAGCCAACAACTTCATTACCCAGTCCATTAAACAACAGCCTTCAAACGATAAAGGATCAAAGTCCTTCTAGTTCAGACAAGTCTGAAGACGACAGCCCAAGAATACAATCTCCCATCTTAGAGGAGGAAGAAGATGATACTTACGAAGAGCCAGAGACCGAAGCTTTAAGATATGTGACTGTCTCTAGACGTGGGCACGAAGACACCCCTCTACCAGGAAGGCGGTTGTCGAGCCGTGTTGCACAGGCCTTGGCAGAGGAGGGCTCTATAACAGCAACACAGGTAGGAAAAAGTCACCAAACTGTAGAGCAGAGTCAAGATCAGGCTACCAGTGGAGGTGGTAGAAAATTATCCCGGGAGACCTCAAAACAAAAGAAGCCTACAAGACAGCAAAAGGGCATAGAGTTGGTTGCGGAAGAAACTGGCCAAGAGAAGGGAGAAGAAAACACTAAAAATGACCAAAATGTTGTAGAAGACCAGAGCTGTAGCTTGGATGAGAATGAGGCTTCAGACAAGGAATGCCATGCACCTGATGTTGCCATGGCAACTAGTGATGTCGCTATGGAAACTAGCAGTATACCAGAAGAGGAGCCAATCGGTGACTTCCCTGAGATCGTCTTCAAAGGCACCGCCGAAAACAACGTAGACACACCAGAGGTGTCTCAGAGGGAGGCAAATTTCTCCGACACAACTAAAGGAGGAGAAGACATAATCGTAGAACATGAGGATGAGGAGGAGGCTGGACCAAAACGGCCTCGTCGGTTCCGAAAACCTGCCGCGAAACCGGCGCCAAGCTCGGCTGTCAAGCTGAGGAAGGGGCGAGGCAGAAAACAGGAAGAAGACATCGAAGTGATCTACAGAAACAAGAACTACAAAGCTCCCGAACAGAAGACCTTCGAAACCATCTACGAGGATCCCATCGTACGGAAGAAAACCGGGGAAGAACAACTCGTAGGCAGATCGATGAAACGAAGGGTGTCCTTCCGCAACTTCTACTACCCCAAGAAGATGAACAAGAAGAAAGCGAGTAAAAACGTGAAGCGATTCAGAAGGAAAAGTTTAGAAGGAGTGACAGTGGATGAAAAATTGATCAACCTCGATCGCCAGATGATTGGGATAAGTCCAGCAAAGTTCTGTCTTCCCGGAGACCAGATGTTGTTCCAGTTTGCGTCACAAGAAGCTTCGAGCGATCTGGTCATGGTGAAGGAGGAACCGCTAGATTTGATTGATGAGGAGAATCATCAGGCTCTAGACTTGTCGGGTGTGGGGCCTTTGGATGAAGAAGAAAAAGAAGACATCGCACAAGAGTCTGAGATTAAAAACAAAGAAGTTCACAGTCAAGGTGAATTGTTACAAGAAAAAACAGAACAACAAGCAGAAAAAGATTCCACGAATACAAGAAAGCCTGGCAGGAAAAGAAGAAGGAGCTCTCTTACCGCTCAAGCAAAAATAAAAGTTTTAGAAAACATAAGTCAGATCAACAGTGAGTCAGATGACCACATGCCAAGGAACTCCAAGAAGTCTAGAAGGAAGTCTTCTTCATTGAAGCAGGACAGTCGTGTGTCTTTATCCGCTGACATGTCTAAGGAAACTTCAGGTTCTTCTAGTGAGACGACAGAAGAAGTGGAAGTGTCGCGACTGCCCGAGCATGTGTCCTTATCGTCTTCAGAAAGTGCAACCACGTCCGAGCTAGAAGGCGAGGTCACTCAAGGCAAGAAGAGAGGTCGGAGAAAGTCGATACAAAGCAACAAACCTGTCGACACGGCTTCTAGTGACAGACAGGCTTCAGACCTGAACAGTGTTGATTTGGCGATCAATGCCGTACTAGCTGGAAAGTATTTTGAGGAGCCACCCAACCAAACAACGCAGCAAGCTACATCTGAGGCTTCCCAAGCTAGTGTACAAGATGTGTCAACTACCCTACAGACTAGCAAAGAGAAACGGAGAAGGCCATGTGTACTCTCGGTACCGGTGGAACCACCGATGGATGACCTACAAAATGCAGATGGAAAGGGCAGAGGTCAAAATGCAAAGACCAAAGGTCAGGCAAATGGCAAGGGGTCAAATCCAGAGGGTAAAATTGAAGTGGAGACAACAGAGCAAAGTACAGATGCTCTGGGCCTTACAGAAGAAGGCATAGGGAATATGAAAGGAAAAACTGCAAGACAACGGTCTCGTCGAAGATCTTTACTTCTTAGCCAACAAAGTTCTTCAGTAGAAGAGGAGAACGAAAGAAATACTGAAGCCTCTAACAGTGAGGAAGAGAAACTTCCTTCTTCTCAAGAACCTGGAAAGAAGAAAACGCCAAGAAGAAAGTCAGTTTTGCCGCCGACACTTGAAGATGCTTCTTCAGCAACAGAAGACCAGGACTCTGCTGAAGATGATTCTTCCTTGACAGTTAAGAAAAAAGGAAGAAGGAGGTCAACTATGTCAACAGCAAAGCAAGACACAGTGGAAGACTTCTCCCAACAAAGTCGTTTGACCGAGGAACAAACTCTAGAGGAAGGGTACTCAACCGAATCGTCGGTATCAAGCGTTGTGGTGAGAAGATCGAGAAGAAAGTCAGTCCTACTTCAGCAAAGTAGCTCGGAAGACTGCTCTCAACCAGCGAAGGAACAGGGTGCAGAAACTGACCGGTCGGAAGAAACGTCTGCCACAACATCGGTGGCAAGGAAACGGTCAAGAAGACGGTCAGTAGTTATACATCGGTCAGGAAGCTTGTCCGAAGAAGGTATGGAGACTTGTCAGTGGTCTGGATCTGAGTTGTCGTGCAATGTGCCCCTACCGGGAATCAGGTCGGTGAAGACGAGAAAAACTAGGCGTCAGGACATCATTCCTGATAGTTCTACATGTGAGAATGTTGAACGTGCCATGAGTGAGTCAGAAGAAAGCCACGTCAGCACTGCTTCAGGTCCAGTCACTACCAGGCGGTCAAGACGCCGCTCTGTCCTGCTGAAGATGTCTTCAGCAAACGAGGAAGATTCACGCCCACCAGACAACGTATCTCTTGTAAAAATAGCAAAACATCACATGGAAAGTCTTGGAGAAGCCGGCGTGACGTCTACAGTACTCAAGGAAGAGCCAAACAGCATCTCAGCCGAGCACCAAACTGATGACAAGACTGGACAGATTGAAGAACCCCAAGTAGATAGAAAAGAACATCAGTCAGAAAACGATTTAAATCCGTGGGGCTGCTCTTCACAAGAGTCGGCATCCTCTCAGTCAGTTGGCGGTTTCGGGGACTTCGTAGAAGACGAGGCTTCCGGCGTAAGTCGTCGGAAGAGAAAACGGCGGAAGTCCGTGCTTCTCAAACAGTTTTCCTGGGCGGGGGAGTCTCCTCCGGGAATCACAACCATCTCTGAGAACTTTGGAACGAAAGCGGAAGAAAGAAAACAAACTGAGAAACCGCTACCGTCCTGTTCACAGCAAACCCGTGAGGAGGGCGTAGAGAATGTTCCGGACTGTCTAGAGAGTGATGATGTCGTCAGTTTCAACTTGGAAGTCAGCCGGAAAGAAACGGAGCTGAAAGAAGTACATTCTGACGCTGAGGCTACCGATTCTGAGGCTATTCTCCCAGCTAAGAAAGCTAAAAGGTCTCTCTGTGGCAATAATGAAGAGAAAAATCAGACCAGTGATTCCTCAGAGTCAGTAGTTGACAGCCAAGCCCAAGTTTCTACTGTAAGGAAGCGTAGAAAATCTATATTCAAAAAAGCTACAAATGAGGAAAAAATTGTGACAAGTTCAACTGACATTCCGCAAGACATCCTAAATAATGACGACTATGACGAATTGCAATCTACAGAAGTTCAGAGTGATTTGCAAACAGTTACACAAGCATCCAGACGGCAGAAACGCAAGAGAGCGGCGGGGCCTGTGGTGTCAAACCAAAGTTCTGAAGAGATGTCTACAAGTGATAAAGAAGACAAAACAGAAACATTTAAGAGTGAAGGTTTACCTACTGGTATTTGCAATGAAGAATCACGTGCATCTGCAGAAAAGGTTGAAGGAACAATGTCAGAAGACCAAGTTTCTGAGAAGCAGCCTAAAAAGAGAGGCAGACGCAAGTCACAGTCCTTCAGACCAGAAAAGATGAACAAGTTTTTGTCTGAAAATCAAGATGCAGAATCCACCACACCCAACCAAACTGAAGAAGACTTTGTCACTAGGGACAAAACATACACGGATGAGAAACATACAGAAATCACTGACGAACCAAAGAGAAAAGTTCGCCGCCAGTCGGCCCGTTTCCGACGAGCTAGTACGCCAAAGAAGATGGCGTCCCCCAAGACAACGCCTGCGCCAGACAACGATCTGATGTTTGAAGAGGACTTTGTCACCAACGATGACACCTTTATTGACAACGAACAAATAGAAAGCCTTATAAACTCTATCGCAGAAGGTAACACTCCGGTAGGGAGCCCTTGTAACAGCGTTTCCACAAAAATCGCTGACGTAAATGTTGAGAAAGACATCAAGAAACCTAGGCAGAAGAAGGCAAAAACAAGAAAGAAGAATGCGGGAAAGAGAGCTGCTACCAGGGGAAGGAAGAAAGCAGAGCTTCCTAAAACCCCAAAAGAGTCCTCACCTCAAAACAGAAAACCAGCGAAAACCCCAAAAGACTCCTCACCACAGAACAGCAAACCAACTAGCACTGTCTCACCAAAATTACGTGTTGCAGAAAGTAACAAGACAGCTACACCGGTAGATAGTGAAGAAAATGGTTTTCAGGACAACACTTGTAGCATCAGGAAAGAGAAGAAGGCGAAAAAAGGAGGAAAGAGTTTGTCTCCAGCAACCAACGAGCCAAAAATACATGAAAATGGGGACAAAACAACGGCAATGTTGTCACCGACATCACAGAACAATCTGAAAAAGACGCCCGGGAATAAAACGCCGTCGTCAGCGCTGCAAAGTCACACCGACAATGGAAAGTCTTCCCAGAAATCCTCACCTACAACTCCAAGTCAGTCCCAGAAACGCGAAGTCATCATGAAGGAGCCTCCACACAGTCCTGAGACAGTCTTCTCCCCGAAAAGTCGGGACCAGGCTCGGCAGATCAGCAGTCTGTTCTCAGTCCTCTCTAGATCCACCTCATCTCCCGATGCCAACCAGTCCCTCCTAGGAGCCATGCCCTCCTTCAAATCACTTGTGAAAGACGTCGTGAGCCCTGAAACCACCGTTAACTCCAGCCAGCCTGTACAAGACACTAATTGTGACACCAGGAAACCATCTAAACCATCGTCTTTTGCAAGTAAAGCAAACGCTAGCAGCAAAAGTACCAACAACACAACCTATAGTAGCAAACCTGGACTCTTAGCAGAGCAGACACCGCAGGCTGAGTCGTGTGGTTCGGACGTAGCAAGCAGCTTTAGTTGCCATGGCAACACGAGCTGGAAGGACACTACGGTATCCAACAGCGGGAAGAGCAAGTCGTTTACATTTGCCAAGGCGTACTCGGCCAAACAACACTGGGCTAAACGGTTCATGAACACTAAGGACACTTATCTGAACAAGTTTAAGATGTTTGCGTTTGGTTCACCTTCTTCACAGTCCAGTGCAGAGGAAAACAGTTAAATACATATGTACCAGTGTTGGATATTTTTGTGTTCTTTTTATACAATTGGTATAGACTCTCACCTAATTATGTTTCAATGTCTTTCAGACACAAGGTATAAGTAGTAGAGAGTCTAAACTGGTTGTGTAAAAGAAAACCCCAGTATCCTTTGTTTTACCAACAAGGTGAAATTATTTTCACAAGTTAATGCCAGTATTGTTTGTAAAGATATGTACATGTATGTAAGAAAAACAGTTGTAAAGTTATTGTACTAAAGTATTTTCGTGAACATCTCTTCAAAATAGTTGTGCCCTAAAGTAAAGATGTCTTTTACATAATACAAATTAACTAAATATTGTCACTATGATACACATTTTAAGAATTGTAATTATCCATTTTGTGGTTCGCTAACATCTTGAAGAAGTGTATAGGATTATACGCTTATATTTTCACACTAGAAATATAGTAATGAGAAAAAAATTCAGATTCACAAGATTTCTGCTCAAATGTCTTTGTTGGAGTACTAGAAGTTGGTTAAAGAAGACACTCTGTTTCATGATTGTTAATAGAAATGGCTTTTATTGGAGACTGTCAGTAAAATGTATTCTATTATAATATGTATAATAATTTTGTTCAGGTGTGAGTTGTAGACATTGTAGTTTGAATGGTGATAGATAAAAAACCATCTTCTATATTTATAGTTGTGCTCTACGGTTAAAAAATAATTTATGTGGGCGTTATGTAATGGCAATAAGCAAAGCTTTGTTTCAATTCAAGGTCTTCTAATAGTGGGAAAAAGTTATGTGAAGACAGACACTATTGTCATTATGTACTTCACTCTTTGTCAGACCAAAAAGTTATGGGAACAAAAACGATGCAAGGAATGAGCTCACAAGCTTTTTCTAAACTTGCAGAGCCCCTTTTTTTCTGTTAAACATATAGACAAAGAACAATATACATTGCTTACTGCTAGCTAAGTTCATATCTGATTCAGAGCATCAAATATGTATCTTTGCCAATTTAAATTAATGGAGCTCTTTGCTGTCTATTTCATCATCACGTTTCTGTATACTACCGATTTTACTAACTCTTTGTGGTTAATATTCTAAAAAAATCATTTTGTTTCCTTCTGTTTCCTAAGTTTTTGTTCAGTTTATATGAAATTTGTTTACTAAGAAGTTATGTTGAAAGTTACATTTTATATTATTGCTGTACATTGTATATTTGTACTGAAGTAAATAAAATTGATGTATTGTGATAACTTGTTTTGTTGATCATTTCAAGCACGTAAAAAAACTGAGTGAATGCGTGTGAATGTGTAGTAAAAGTAGGTGTATGATGATCCAAATTAAAGTACAACATATCCAAGGCTGTCAACTTGCAGTACCATTATTGGAAAATTTATCCTATTCAGAAAGTACACTCCATGAAAATATAAGAGGTTTCTATATTGCAGCAGCAAATTTCAGACGGTATTTAGACCTAGAAGAGTAAAATGGTCAATTTTCTGCTAAAAGTTCCAGCAATACTGGTGTGAAAACTTGTTAACAAACGACCAAAGAGTGTGGTGTAATCGCAATGGTCATAAAATAGTGCCCCTCTTTGGCGACTGTCAGTACTGCAGGACATGACCTGAACAGTACTGATCAAATACAAAATTGCCTGCAATGATATTACCTTCCGCCTAGGCGGCACTATTTTATAACCCTATTGCTACACATTACAAACACCACTGAATGTACATTGCCTGCAATAATTTCAACTCTCGCCTAGGGGCGCTGTCCTTTGACTCACATTACCGCAAATATGACGTCAAAGGGCAATCCCTTGGCTGTTTCATTTGACGCACATAAGGTTACCATATGGTTTTAAGAAAGCAAAATTTGTAAAAGAAAATAACTAATTTCACATTTTGTACCGTGTTCATTAGTAATTATTTATGTAAAACAATTACTATTGATGTAACTTGATGCTTTTGTGTTATTTATCTGATAAAAGAGGAACTTCGTGCGTAATTTCAGGGGGGCGTTTGCTAAATAGCACAGCCGGGACCGGTCCTGTCACTGGTGGCTTCAAGAATGTTCCGGGTTTCTGTAGAAGATCGTAGAACGGACTAGTCACTACTCAAGGCGCCTTAAACAACTATTTTACTCTCAGTGACGACGCCAGAACGATTGGGAGACGTCCATTGAGGCATTGTCGACGTCATAAGGGTATAAAAAATGGCACAGCGGCTTTTTAACCCGCAGAATTTAGCGATGTATGCCGAAGAACCGCCACTACCGAAAGGTTGGGAAATGCGACTCGATCCGCAAACCGGTTGGCCGTTTTTTATCGACCACAACACCCGGACAACTACATGGCAGGACCCGAGAAGACAGGTTTGTGTCCCCTTCACTCGTGTCGGTGTTATTTCTTCGCGATCAGTCAGTTTTCTTCGACATTTTTCTGACGACAACGATCCCCCCCTCCCCCTTCTGACGCCCCCCTCCCACAAGTATATTTTTGTATGATCTGGGCGATCGCTATCGAACACATGACCTATTTTGTACAGAAATTCAATATTCTTTTCAGAAACTAGGAAACAGCACTATTTGTCACTTGTTGGAGGCACTTGTTTTCCCATTGTTGGACTAGCTCTTCTTGTGCCATTTAAAATTCAAATCAATGAACTACTTTGATTTCTAAGTACTTATCTACGTCATGCTTCAGTTATTAAAAGGGTCATAAGAACAATTATTTATCCCACATGTTTAGATCATGTTAATGATAGTACTGATATTATCAGAAACACTGGCACAAAAAGTTTAGCATAACAGAAACTGGAGCAAAAATGGTAAAACTTGTACCCTTTTTCTTACATTGTTTGTCACATTGTGTATGTTGAACACACATTATGTAACAGTATATGTTTTCATTGTCATTTGATATATTGTATAATGCATATGAATGCAGGTCTATAGTTCTTAAGAGGTCATATTATAGGTACGATTATTGAACAATCTATTCACAAGTTCACACTATGACACCTTAATAATTGCGAAAAAAGTGCTGTAAGCCATCATATCATTGGTTTCTGAACCGAGAGGTTGGGAGTTCGAATCCCGGCTGTTGTCGCTCATTCACGCTACTAGAAAGGGTTGCAGTCCTTCGGATGGGACACTAAGCTATAGTCCTAGACGTTGTAGTCTTCTGTCCATTGTACTTGTCAAAAAGACGGGAAGGGAATTTTTTTCTTCTTCTTCTTCTTCTTCGGTACTCTCTAACCACCCCTACTGGGGTATCACTGAGAGGGGAAACAATTCAGTACAATGAACCTGTATAAACTGTCCAGTGTTTACCTTCTCTGTCACGACCAGTGGAAAAACAGCTCTCCATTGGTTCAAGATTTCTTTTTTCTTTAACAGAAGGGTTCTTTCCGTTCATACGTTTTGTCATTAATTGTTCTTATGAGACAAAACCAGGACAAGATGCCCCCCTCCCCCTTCAAACTATTCTTTAATTACCAAGGTGTATACTTCCGTAGGAAATACCATAGACAAATTTGTGTGGGTTGACTTTTTGAGTCACCCTTGGTCACCCCCCCTCCCCTTCTTCCAAATCCCTTTCTTACGACACTAGTCTGACGACACGTGTAGCCTCGGGTGCCGGAATAGTCGTTATGGACCGGCTCATTATCCTAAAAATTAGGGGTGTACTTACTAAGAACGTCTACATATTTTTTAAAAAGTCTGTTTCAATAAAAAATAACTAGTAACTTTGTATGAAAATGATGCTTTAATAATATATTCCTATTGTATTAATATTCAGGGTTACAGTATGAATAAAGCAACATTGTGAGATTTAAAAAGATAACCCATGCCCCCCATTGAAAAGTGGTCCCTCCCGTTGCCTAACGGTTATTCGCGCCAGTGGCCAGTTGGACTAGTCCGACCGCCATGTGGAAGATGACATCATGCCGTTTTGTTATAAAACTGGTTCTCTCTCACACTGTGTCTTTTGTCATGTTTAATCACTATCTAAATCACTAAAACAGGTGGAACTTTGGAGAAAATTGCGGGGTATTTATTGTGTATAAAATGGATTGGAAAGGGACTTGGAAAATAAACATAAACAATTAGTAATTAACCTTGTTTTACATACTTGCCCCTGGTACTTGAAAAAAGAGACAAAATTTGAACTAAGAGACAGATTAATACAGATTAAAGTAATTAAGTAAAGTAAAGTAATAAGTTATGTTTTATTCAATTTTTTAAAAAGTCTGTTTCAATAACAAATAACATCCTAACTTTGTATCAAAATGATGCCTTGATGCCTTAATATTCAGGGTTACCGTATGAATAAAACAACATTGTGAGAGTTGAAAAGATTACCCATGCCCCCCATTGAAAAGTGGTCCCTCCCGTTGCCTAACGGTTATTCGTGCCAGTGGCCAGTTGGACTAGTCCGACCGCCATGTGGAAGATGACATCATGCCGTTTTGTTATAAAACTGGTTCTCTCTCACAGTGTCTTTTGTCATGTTTAGTCACTATCTAAATCACTAAAAACAGGTGTAACTTTGGAGAAAATTGCGGGGTATTTATTGTGTATAAAATGGATTGGAATGGGACTTGAAAAATAAACATAAACAATTAGTAATTAACCTTGTTTTACATACTTGCCCCTGGTACTTGAAAAAAGTGACAAAATTTGAACTAAGAGACAGATTAATACAGATTAAAGTAATTAAGTAAAGTAAAGTAATAAGTTATGTTTTATTCAATTTTTTCAAAAGTCTGTTTCAAATTCAATAACAAATAACATCCTAACTTTGTATCAAAATGATGCCTTGATGCCTTAACATTCAGGGTTACCGTATGAATAAAACAACATTGTGAGAGTTGAAAAGATTACCCATGCCCCCCATTGAAAAGTGGTCCCTCCCGTTGCCTAACGGTTATTCGCGCCAGTGGCCAGTTGGACTAGTCGGACCACCATGTGGGGTATATATGTATGTATGTTTTACAATTTCAGACCACATGGTCTTTTGCTACATGCCTAACAGTATGGAGTCATTTTAACTTATTGATTTTAGAGCCTATTTCCTGCATGTCTAGCTAACTGATCAAAATGGTAAGTGTTCACAATCCATAAGCAGAGATCCCTCAGGAGGGTTGTCTCCTCCGCACACGTAGGCTTCGAGGGTGCGCCTAACCAGCCTGGAGGGGTCCATGCGAAGAATGTGGCCAAGGTACCGGAGTGTACTGAAGCGTGTTTGGGCGATCACCATTCTGTAGTTCACGTCCGCTTCCTGGTCACCGTCACATTGCATGCGGCTTCCGAGGTAGTCGAATGCATGGACGTTTTCTAGTTGTTCGCCCTGTAGGGTGACATGTGGCCGTTCCTTTTCCTTGGCGAGTCTCTTCTGACGCTGCACTTCTTTGTCAGCAAGGGTACCGGTACGTGACCGGGTGTTTACAGTGGAGGGATGGTGAAGGCACCAACGACTCCGGTGGATGGCTAGGCCTCTTTTTGTTGGAAATTCTCTGGTGCACTCTGGGCATCTGTGTTTGAGGTTCAAAGCGGCTACCTCGGCCTCGGTCGTCTTTGATACCCGCTCTTTACTGTGTATGTGCATGGCTTTGGTGAATGAAACTGAAACTGAAACTGAAACTGCCGTTTTGTTATGAAACTGGTTCTCTCTCACACTGTGTCTTTTGTCATGTTTAATCACTATCTAAATCACTAAAACAGGTGGAACTTTGGAGAAAATTGCGGGGTATTTATTGTGTATAAGATGGATTGGAAAGGGACTTGAAAAATAAACATGAGGCCACACCAATTTAATTTCTTGGTTTACGGATTTCTCTAGAAAAATAATGGAGCGGGCAGGCAAAAAATAAATAAAAATAAAAACAGGCCTAGGCATCCTATTATTGCCCAAAATGGTACGATAGGAGCCATGAAGTCAACACACCAGCCTGGTTCAAAATTTAAGCAATGAATTTTGAACTTTTAATGTTACCACTGCATTGAAAGATGGAATAACTGTAACAACTAGGAAGAAAATGACTGTTTTCAACTGCTGTTCAGGGCAAAATATGAGTATTTTGCAGTTGATTCTGAATTTTTATTTTTATTTGCAAATCAGAAAAAATGAAGCGGGCGAATCTGTTAACCAAGAAATTAAATTTGTGTGGCCTAAGAGACAGATAAATACAGATAAAAAGTAATTACATAATGAGTTACGATTTATTCAATTTTTTTGTGCATTCTCTTATTCCACTGTAAATTAATACTGAATACTTACAAAGTCACTGAACTGGTCTATTCTGACTAAAGTAGTAAAGAAAACAGAAATAAGTAAACAAATGAAGATAAAAATGTAGCATCATTTTAGTCGTTTATTTCCAGCAATATTATCATATAAGTCAGGGACATCCCTCTTTTAGTTCAGTCTGTTTCTATATCATAATTTGTCATACATTTTGTATTTCAAAATGTTGCCATAACTTCACATCATTGTCTTGAAGAACCTTTTTGATTGCAACATTTTTGCCTGTCCTGAAATAAAGTTTTCTCATTTCTAACGCCATGTTGATTTAATTATATGGATGACATCCGTGCGCGCATGAATTTTCGGCCGTTTCCAAAAAGAAAAAAAGTTTTCAACAATGAGCAAAAATATACCATAAGTTACAAAAAAATTAATAAAAACTATACCAATGCCGTAGAATGCCAAAATCAAACGAAAAAAGATGAAATTGTAAAGAAATGAACTTGAAGACTAGATTATTCGCCAAACCATATTCTGTGCCATTTGCTCAACCCTCATGACCACGTAGATTTCATGATGAAAAGAACTTTTTTTTTGCAAAACTTTTTTTTTATTCGCACGCGCGCATCAGTTTTGGGGCTCCCGGAGGATGTCATCCATATAATCAAATCAACATGGCCTAGTCTATATTTTCTTTTTTTTCTTTTCTTTTTTTTTTCTTCCTTTTTTTTTCTCATTTTTTTCTCTCTATAATTAGGTCTGTAATGACCATGACCTTGGTATTACAACACTAGTCTGGCTCCGAATCGTTTGGCTGGTTTTATTGATTTGTTAAAACATTAAATCAATATCCTGACGTCAGGACCTCCTGAAATATTAACAATCCAGCAATAATATGATCCTTGTTCAATATAACACAGTCCTTGTCAGCGTTCCTGACCAAATATTTCACCGAGTTGTGGAGTTAATCGGGAAAAAAACCTTCTGCTTTACTGTTTGTGGGAGGTAAACCTGGATTTCTAGCATTAGTTTCTTAGATTGCTGGTTTTCCTTACTGTTGACGACCATGAAGAAAGGAAAGGTACAGTAGTTATGTGATAATTCTCTTACGCTTGTTATTTTAAAATCAACCGTCATCCGTGTAACTGTACAGTATTTTAAAATCAACTGTCATCCGTGTAACTGTACAGTATTTTAAAATCAACTGTCATCTGTGTAACTGTACAGTATTTTAAAATCAACTGTCATCCGTGTAACTGTACAGTATTTTAAAATCAACTGTCATCCGTGTAACTGTACAGTATTTTAAAATCAACTGTCATCCGTGTAACTGTATGTACAATATTTGAAAATTTAATTAGAGATACATGTAGATAAAGGATGCCTAGTTTTGTAATACATGTATAACCAAGTACAACAAATTTGTTTTGCAGATTAAGTATTACTTGGAATATAGGTTGTTGTCTTTTCATCATAAATGTCTACATGTAATGTCTGCTATACTGGCAGTACATGTAATTTGGTTAGACCGACACTAGGCCCAGATTTGTCACAATCATTCAGTCCTTATCACTGTGAAACTAGATGTAATATGCCCACATATTAAGGTATAATCAACTTATGTGACTACTACTACTAGATTAAATTGTTGGGAAAAGATGGTTTAGTCTGAAGTGGTTCAAGTATGCATGATCAGTTAACAGTCACTGTATTAGAATCCACAACGGCATGTACATGTAGGTTTTTTTTGGCAACGTCTCAGGGAGGATCCTAATGGCACAGTATTGTGTGCAGTTCGCAAGAATTCTAGGAATTGTACAGGCACAAAAACAGCCTTTTTTTAGGTGTAACACACCAGTTTTATACATGTAAGTAGAAGTACAAGTACAAGTTGTGTAAGACCGATCTGTAAGGTTTGAATTGGTCACACCGGGAAGGACTACTCTGCACTAAACCCAGATATTTCATTGTTTTTGTTTAATGTTTGGTCAACATTGCATCAGAATTTTACCCATTGCATATTTTCCAACACAACATTTGAAAACTGTAGACAGAATATCATCCATAAATACTCAATGTCTGAGGTTTCGCAGTACGCTCTGCTGAAGATTATAGTTTATGATGCCAAGCTTATACTAAAACTCAGCTCTCTGTTTGTGTTTCTCCCAGATGCCCGGTCAGAACAGGCAGACTGGACACAACCAGCAGCAGCCGCCTCAGAGCCGTCAGATCCCTGTGCAACACGAGAGCGCCCCCCAGCAGAGGTACACGGTACCGCAGAAGGAGAACTACCACAGCGCCAGGCAGACTCTTCCACAGAACGGGCAGCAGTCTAAGGTACTGAAACTCTCCCACCAAGGCATGGTAAGCATATTAGGGCTCCAAATGCTCTATTGTGCATACCTGCACTGGTGCAGGCCAACATTCTAAATTACCTGCACCAGGCAAGTTTTACTTGTATTACAGTTTCTTTGCCTTTCAGCCCATCTAAAATTTGAAATGTTTTGAGAAAATAGTTTTCTGCTGTCTTCAATGATCTTGTTGACAGTACATGGGTTGGGGAAGATTGACAGGCAGAATGACAGGTCAAAAGGTCAGACACAGGTAATTGCTCTGGTCAGGAGTCAGCAGTCATGGGGGAATTCAGGAAGCCGAGGATTGCACGAGGAAACCTCCAATGCTTTCCAGAAGTCTGAAATCTCTTTTTTCTTGTCCCTCGCAGGGTTTTACCCAGATTCCTGTGCAGCATGAGTCGTCGGCGCAGCAGCCGCGTACACGGCACATGGATCACGTGGCGGAGCCGTCACAGCGCGGGCCGCAGCCCGGGGTCTCCCCCCAGCAGGCTCGCAGACTCTACCCCCCGCGGGGGGGCTCACCCAAACCTGCTTCACCACAGGCACAGGTCAGTCTCATGGGGCTAGCAATATAGTAGAAGTAGAAGGAAGACAGTTAGATGGCAGCCTTTACCACTTCATCCAGTTTGCTAGAACCTAGAGTAAAACAAATGTTTGTGCTATCTATGACAGGACTCAAATACTAGGTTGACATGCACCTTTGTGCACCCAAAATTATGCTACAGCTATGCTCAACTTCCATACTCTTACCCATAAGTGTTGAGTGTTGTTAAACAAATTCATTAAGAAATTGGTTTAGCTCTGAAGCAAAAAACTGTCCAACTCTTGAGTCTTTTCAAGGAATGAACAATCCACCACTGGATCATAAGTTTTAGAAAGTTTACAGAAACCCCATCTCTTTTAAGGAATTGTGGTGAAAATTATAGTTCACCTTTGCTTCAGAACGATTTCAAGCAACACAGATGTACTTTCTGAAAAAAATCGTAATTTCCAACACAAAATTTTCAGTCACTTCTAGTATGGAAAATGAGCTCTGCTTTGCTTCAGAACGATTTCTAGACAGATTCAAAACTTCCAAGCTATGATATGGTAGGTAATAATTGTTTTGGTCAATGGTTTTAACTTGCCTGTGTTCCACCCAATCACAGACGGTGAACTCCCGAGTGCGTGACGTCCCTATCCAGCGCGTGCAGACGCCTCCGTCCGGCTCCCCACAACAGCCGCGCCGCGAAAAACTGGAGACGCCACCGCCACAGATCCAGCCACAACCGGAACCAGCAAGGGAACAACCACCGCCCGAACCGGAGCCCGCTCAACCTCAACCCAAACCCTCCTCTCTGGAGAAGATCGAAAAAATCATGGCCGACGTGAACCAGTTGTACAACGAGGTCCAGGATTTCCGCGGGCGTAAGGAGGACAATCTTAAAGAATATCTCCGACTTGAGGAGTTCCTGACAAAATGCTTGCTACAGCTGGACGGCGTGGAAACGGAAGGGATCGCGGAAGTTCGGACTGCGCGGAAACAAGCCGTCGTCAAGTGTCAACAGGCGCTAACCGACCTGGATTCGAAGGGGAAGGGAGAAGACGCAGCTCCGGTGGAGAACGCAGAAACGACGGACGGACGGAACGGCGGCGGGGAAACGGAAAAGGACCAGAATGCACCGCAGGGCGTTCCCATGGAAACCGAACAAGCGTCGGACGAGAAATCAACAGAAAACAAAAACAGAGACGCTGAAAATGGAGAAAAGAAGGAAGAAAACGAAGTGAAAAAAGAGGAAAATGCAGACGGGAAGTCGCAATAAAGACTGTCCTCAGCGTAGTTAGGAGAATTGAAAGTTTGATCACAGGCTTTGTTGCTGCTGTGCAATTCACCATTTTTCCCTAGATAAAACATATGGAAGTTAAGATACAGCTAATATTGGGTGTTTCTTGCCAGTAACAAAAGCAGTATGTTACTGTGGAAGCTATAATATGCATGGTAACGGCTGCTTCAGGTGGTAGCTATTAGGTATAGGGTTTCATGTTTACAGACTAATATTTAAACTGCAATGATATCAAGGCCTGTAACAAGATCAAGAAAAGATTCAATACTGTCAGGGTTAAGTGTGTAAAATTTGAAAGATAACCAGCAATAGTAAAGATTCTATGTCTTAAAAGACGATATATAGAAAACAGTTGAGCACTAAAGCTGAAATTCTGGCAATGGCTTGGATGCATCTAAACTTTTCAGACAACACTACTCAGTAGTAAGAGTTGTCAATAGATGTAATTTTATCAAACAAATGGATTTAAAAAGAGTTGAAATGTGATTAAAAACTATGTATTCTTCCCAGAACTGTGCTTACGATAATCTGCATTACTCTGGTAAATTATGATAATTGGGAAATAAGGCCACACCAATTTAATTTGTTGGTTCTCGGATTTTTTCAGAAAAAATATGAAGCGACAGGGCGAAAAAAAATAAAAATAAAAACAGGTCTAGGCATCCTATTATAGGCTTAAATGCTATGGAATGAGCCATGAAGTCAACACAAAAGGCTGGGTTAAAATTTAAACGTTGAATTTTGAACTTTTAATCAAACCACTGCGATGATAGATGGGAAAACTGTAACAACTAGGAAGAAAAGGACTTTCCTCAACTGTTGGGGGGCAAAACATGAGCATTTTTCAGGTGATTCAGGACCAGAATCAATTTTTTTTTTTGCAAATCTAGAAAAAACGAGAGGCGAATCCGAAAACCACAATTAATGGTGTGGCCTCAGGATGACAATCATTCAATCAGGTTTAATTTGCATGGACCAGTAGGGCATGAAGACTACCCTTGGACCAGAGCCAGTGTCACAGCCAGAATGTTTATTGATGAAACTTAGTTTCAACAGTTACCATGTCCCCTTAAAGTCAACACAGGATAAAAATAACTCTGTAAATGTGCTGACAGGGCTGAGAAACCCACGCCCTGCAGGAACTGTTGCATCATGCTGGCCCGGTCTTGGGCAGTTGTCATCCTGAAG